TACATCTTTATCATTTACACATTATCACATACATCTTTATCATTTACACATTATCACATACATCTTCATCATTTACACATTATCACATACATCTTCATCATTTACACATTATCACATACATCTTCATCATTTACACATTATCACATACATCTTCATCATTTACACATTATCACATACATCTTCATCATTTACACATTATCACATACATCTTCATCATTTACACATTATCACATACATCTTCACCATTTACACATTATCACATACATCTTTATCATTTACACACATTATCACATACATCTTTATCATTTACACATTATCACATACATCTTTATCATTTACACATTATCACATACATCTTCATCATTTACACATTATCACATACATCTTTATCATTTACACATTATCACATACATCTTCATCATTTACACATTATCACATACATCTTCACCATTTACACATTATCACATACATCTTTATCATTTACACATTATCACATACATCTTCATCATTTACACATTATCACATAGAGCTTCATCATTTACACATTATCACATACATCTTCATCATTTACACATTATCACATACATCTTTATCATTTACACATTATCACATACATCTTCATCATTTACACATTATCACATACATCTTCATCATTTACACATTATCACATACATCTTCATCACATTTACACATTTCATCATTTACACATTATCATCTTTCATCATTTACACATTATCACATAGAGCTTCATCATTTACACATTATCACATACATCTTTATCATTTACACATTATCACATACATCTTCATCATTTACACATTATCACATACATCTTTATCATTTACACATTATCACATACATCTTCATCATTTACACAGTTTCAATATTTACAAATCATAAAACCTTAATATATTCAAATACTAGTACTCTATATATAAATGTTTATTATGAAACAATTTAGTCAGTTGTGATATGTTAAGGTCACTTAAAGATGCTGTATATGATGCATCGAAATAAAGGAGTAAAGCAAGTGGTTATCAGAATATCTTGACCGATGACATTAAACTTGCAATTATGCAAAATTTGGATGAGGCCTTTATTACAAGAAACTTGTCTTAGGTAGGTAGGTCTAAATGCAGAGTAAAGGTAACTAAAAAACGAACAGTAACTAGTGTATGTTCTAGTAGAACGAGTTGAGAGTCGGATGATGTACAATAGATCCACTCGAGATACAGCTGGGCAATATTTTTGTTCTTTGAAATTGGTTTCAAAATCAAATACAGACATCTCGGGATCAATGTGTACACATCTAGAGACAAAGAAAAATAAACATGTCATACATAAAAACATGAGAAATATGTATCCAGTAATTCTCAATGTAAGAAAGATAAAACAAATTATAACCGTCAAAAGCCACGAATTCGGCCTGTTGTTAGCCAGTATTTACAAAAAAGCACATAACAAAAAGGTGTTTTAATCAGTCTCAACATAAACAATGTACAAACAGTGACAAACATCTGTAATGTCAGAATATCGATCGCGATCAATTCAAGAAGCTTAACCTTTACTTACATACACAACACACTCACAAATCAGTGAAAATGTAACATGTTGATAGTTGTAGTTCATTGCCTCTATGGCACACTTCTTACACTTACATTTTTTTCACTGTTAAGACTTACCACTAGAAATGTTAACATTTCAAACTGCTGTCTAAACTTTAACAACGTATATCACCAGAAGGCTACTTACGACAAGTCCTAAAACAGTAGGAGACATTTCAAACTATATCAAATCAAATGCTTTCGTTGCTATGTTTCTTCCACAATAGTTTATACGCCACCGTTGTAATGGCGCACAATTCATGAAATATCAAATATATACATTGTTATGTCGTTTAATGTAATGATATTCGAATCTCTTCTACACAAATTACATCTAATTTCTTGGCCAATATTATGGTTGAAATACTCGACATCAATTAATTCTTTTTTATCATTGATTGATTCCTGAAATCACGGACCAGTTTGCATTTCTATGGGAGAAAACATGGACCAATATTTTGGTTTGTAATGTATTTTGTAAAATCCACTTTTGATGCAACATTTTTCTTTTAAGTAAGATAATTTGCTTGTTTTTTAGAAGAAGAAACAGTTGGCGAGTATTTTGACATATATCGAGAGCAAGAGGGTCGGCTGCGTGGTTTCTACTTGAATTCAGGTTATATTGTCAACGCTTTGAGGACTTTTTTTCAGAGATAGAAAAGTATCGGTATCCAATAGTTATCATGAACCACGAGGGGACAAATATGTTGCTTAGTATAATGAGAACACAAAAAAGATACATATACATGTTTGAGCACTGGTCAGATTTGGCTGCCTCCATACTGCTGGTCAATATGTGACAGTAAAAATAACGGAGATGAAATATACAAATGGAGAGGTCGAGGGAAAGTTTTCAGGTCTCATAAAGGGTGCATGTAAAGTTTACCGCCCACAAATTGGAACATTTAGAACTTCAAGTATAAAGATATTCTAAAATAACTCGTCAAGAGGTAGGCTTCCCTTGTCTATCGTTACCCTAATACTTGAGTTAAGCGTAGTAATATGTACAGGAAAAACTCCAAAGTACTTATTTATGAAACACATCTCTATAGTCTGATTTTACACTTTTCCTGCTATTTATGTCTCTGTTATAATGTTACTAACCATATAACAGCATAAAACATAAGATGTAATGTTATACAAACTTATTTAGAAAGCAGAAGAAGATTTTGTTCTGGAAACATACAGGTACTCAAGTTTATTTGATAAATTTTGACTGGTTTTGCATATTGGATATCGCTAATAAGTTTATCTAAACTCAACAATTTAATCAAATCAATGTCACGTGACTGGTAGCCAGTACTTACCGTACAGATGATGGAAATCTTGTCGATTATTTATCAATTATCGTATTGAGAAATGATGGGTATTAAGCATTCCATAGACTAAAGAAACGAATACAATATATAGGATAGAATGAGAAGAATGAAATCTATTTAATAGATACAGTGAAGTGACAGAAATCTACTCGTTTGACAGACGTTTGCCCGATAAAATGTAAGAGTTATCTCCCATCGATCATCATGAGCACCATAGGATGTCTCTGACCTTGTCAACCGCTTCGGATTCAAAACAATCTCCTATCAGAAGTATTCCGAGCTTACTATTTCATGTCCAGATCAATACTGTTTACCGACGTAGGATCGATTGGGTACCATTCTCGTTGTTCCGACCATAATTAATCCTTTTCGTGTTCTGATCTCTACCGTTAGATGTATCGCACAACCGATCTGCTCTCAGTCGACCTATGTATGATAAGCTAGGGGGTCATTCATACCCCATCTTCGATGAAAATTATTTTTTCAGCTAGTACATCAGCGAAATTGTCCATCTACAACTTGAACACATTGTATATATATATATATATCATCGCCATCCAGTGTGAATTCCTGTATTTTCAATCAGAGTGTTGCAGTAATATTTCAAGTGTCTTTGGCGTTTTACCTCAGAGTAAGCCATCCTCTATTTCCAAGAATCTCACCTTCCTCATCTCCTACCATTAAAGAAGCGAATTCTTAAGTCCTCGAAACACTCAGTAGAATTAAGAATCCATATAATTTTTTTCTCTGGACTATGGGGCTATAGGCCTGAGATGTCTAAATAGAGAATCTAGAAAAATGTCAAGTAGAGTGGTGATAATTCTTCTGGCTAATGTTTACAAGTAAAATGGAACGGGAAAAACCCATTTTACCATTCTATTTTCAGTTGAAAAAAAAAGAGTCGGAGAATGTTCGTATTTCTCCCCGATGGTGGCATGGTGTTTTACTGTTTTTCGTTACCCTTTCCTATTACGGATTTGGTGCCGTTGACCAATCCAAGTGTAGAAGCGATACGAGATTGAGATGCTTCCTTGGAGATATTGAACCTAAGTTGTTGTCGAGATTTTGTTAAGGACAGATCGCCTTGCGAGACACAGCTAGTGGAAATCTGTCTTTTACCGAGCAGTAGAGTGTTCGCCCATAGACCACCAGTTCGAATCCCTAACGATTGCAGGGTGTTTCTCATTACTCAGGCATTCCCATTACAAAAGAGCATTTTAGAAATAGCAATATAAAAGTTTTACAATTATATATATAAAAAAAATGTAAAATAGTAAAGGAATTAACTATCATTATTTTTAAAGAAAAACAATAATTTTTATATAATACAAAAACAACAGAAAAAAAACGAAGGGAAAATATCCGATTTAAAGACTAAGTAAAGATCAAAGCACAGACTCGTATAACGTCTCTGATCACTAAATGTCTGGCGCCAAAGATTGGAATAACCATTTACAACAGCAAGATCTTTTTGTGATAATTTACATGGAAACGGTGTGGTATGTTATGATTTGAAAATGTTAATTTAAAAGATAAAGAAAAACAAGTAGTAACACCCTCATTTTCCCAAAAGGCATAGCTAAATCAGATATGTATAACATATGGTCATCATTTGAAATAGTGGTATACAACCTGGATTTTGAAGAGTTATCTCCTCTTGCAAAATCGAAGCGACGGTAATCGCAGATACCTCAAATAACAAGCCATTATAGTCTGTACAAATTGAGAGTTATGTTATCTTACGCATATACTAGATGAATCAAGTAAAATATATTACCAGAATATCGTATTGCAGGAAAATACCTGAAGGGTGACACACAGTTGGGACAAGAGGGAGAAGTCATTTTTGAATTGTTTGATTTACACCTGAAGTTTTTGTTTTTCTCAAGTTCCATTTTGAAATTATACGATGGTGAAATCTAAAAAGTTAGTTGATATGTTGTAGAGACTTTGCTTCTTTCATTTTTTTCTATTAGTTGTTTTAAAAGGAAAATGCGAGTGAATAAATTAATGCTCCCTCCAGGTGTGTTTTCGTATTTCAAAGCGAGGTCATCAATACAAATGCAATTAGTCCAAAATGGCGGTGATTAACAGGTTCCTGTGCTGGAACCTCCGAACGTCTGTGCTGGTGGGCTATGGCTTCGTGATCGTGAGTAAAACGTCGTGTGTCTTGTTCAGTTTTAATGATATCTACCTTTGTATACCTGTTTAGTGTATTACGCACATGCAGATACAACATGTACAGGCTACTTCCTGAAACTTTTGACGCCATACAATCTAGGACATTTGGAAATTGTCAACACATTGGACAGAACATCAGAATAACGTATACTTTTTGATTGCAAAAATATCCATGCTTTGATATTGACAAAAACAAGTCATTGCAATCTTTCTTTGTCTAAATTCTAGAACTTGAATAGAAAATGCACAACAACGCAAGACAATCAAATTGCAAGACTAGAGCGGTATTGTCACCGATTTTGAAAATCACAACATTTATATCAACTACATCTTCAAGTGAACATCTATAAACAACATGCGATTTTGATAACTATATAGCATCGATATAATTTTGATGGTTGTTGGTATAAATGATTATCTAATACTGGAATAATTATGTGTGTTTATTTCAATATGTTAGGAGTAGACCACAATTTCAAACCTACTGTTACTATTAATAGTTCAGATACTTTCGAAGACTTCGACAACTGTTGATGTACATTTACAAAGCAAATGGCTAACTTATATATGTACAGGGACTTAAAGTATTGAACAAGGTATCATTAATCGATTGGGTAATTTTGTTGGAAATCATAAAACTTTAAAACTATATTACACCAGAATAGAGATTTTATCAAAATGCCCATTAAGTATTGTAGCATATCATAGTTGCGGGTTCTATATGTTGCTAGTAGTCACATACAGAAACAGAGCATTCGGACATGGTTATTTTACCGTTCAACAATGGTGACATTAACAACATCCTTTATTTGATTGGTTAAATTACTAGATATTGCTTTCTGTAAAACAGAATATCAATAGGACTGTTATTTTCTTTATCATCAATGCCAAAACTAACGTATACATTAAATGTGTTAAAGGATTGCCATACTGGTGATTAAATATTGACACATATGTTCAATCTTGTTATTTCCAGATAACTGGTGTGTTTTCCCTCGTGATGCGATTAATTGATTTGATCGCCACAGGAACAGATTTCGAAATCAGCCAAGGATTCCAAACACCATGGAGATCACATTTCTGGCAAGGTGAGACTAACTTTAGTATGGATACATGTGTACAGGTGTGACAAATTGAGACTAACCTGTACAGATACATGTGTGACAAGGTGAGACTGATTGGTATAGATATACAGGCTTTACAAAATGAGACTGACTAGTATTGATAAAGGTATGACATGATGAGACTGACTAATAGTGTCCGAGCCATGGTTATAACCGAAACAAGGATGTTAAGCCCCATCCCCCCACCAAAAAAGAAAGTGACTGACAGGTATAGATACAAGTATGACAAGGTGAAACTGGTATAGAGATATATGTGACGAGGTGAGACAGGATAGTTAAGATACAGGTGTGACAATGTGACACTGAAAAGTATAGATACATGTGTGACAAAGTGAGGCTAACAGGTATAGATACAGGTGTGACAGTGTGAAACTGGTATAGAGATATGTGTGACGAGGTGAGACAAAAGTATGGATACATGTGTGACAATGTGAGACTGAGTGTTATAGATATACAGGTGTGACAAGATGAGACAGGCTAATATTGATACAGGTGTGACAAGGTGTGAGTTGCATAAAAATGATACCAATAGGATATTGAATGAAATTTCTTATAAGAAAAAAAAATTATAGTTGTAAAGTGTATTGCAGTAGTTCACTTTCACAGTTTATATTTTAAATCCTCAAAGATCATGTTAAATTACTATGATGTGGTTGTATGTTTCAACAATTAAAACTTTTATTATTAATTTGACATTATCAAATATGATGCCAATATCTACAAACAATCCTCAGAATGTGATTAATGAATTATTTATATAATACCATATTTGTTTGCAGCATTTTTAGCCAGTGATGTGGTACTGACATTTGATTACGTGGTTATGATACTGTTCAGTGCCTTCATGTTACTTCAAGTCAGAGAACGGGTATGTACTCAATGCTAATTTACATGTCTTTAAGCATATTAGATAATTCAAAACTGTTCTACCTCTTCAGTTTAAAACATTTGGACTTTATACATTAAGTAAAAAAGTTTCATTTAATATTTTTGATAGTCCAAGCCATCGCTGACATCTAGAACATGTTCTGCATTTGAATTATCTTAAATAATGTTTAGAAATGTCCTTGAATGCAAAAGTTCCCCTTTTGTGATCAGTGCCCTGTATGTATAGAATCACAACTTTAACACAAATAATATTGAATGTTGCTGTACTGAGTTTATTGAATAAAATAAACTCTAAACAGTAGTATGACATCAGATGGATGTGAAATCAGTATTTCAAGTCGAAATTTTTATGATTAATATTTGAAGTCTAAATTATGTGTTATGATTTTTCATGTCTGAATTTATTTTGAGATAAGGTAAGTTGATGTATACTCTGTAAGCCTCTGATGAGTTCTGTATTTTGTTCACCACACTTACCACACCTAGTTATGGTATTTAGTCACAATATCCGACAGTAAAAATTCATGTACTATTTTTGTGTCAGATGCATAGTATAATTTAAAAACTAGTATCTGAATGCTTGACTGCTAATTAAGACTGTAATGTTTAATAATGTGATGCTTATTTTTGCAGCATTTTGTGATGTACATGGGTGCTCATCGATGGTACATTGTCTGTTTCTTCATCTACCAGTTTGTAGAAATCTGCTTCTCAATTTTTGAATTTTCATACTATGGCATGAACACCTTTGTAAGTAAATCTTTTTGTCTTATTGAAAATTCATCACTTATTACCAGACTTACACAAGCAAATGTTCATAATGATTCAACTCCTGTCCTGTCATTGCCATGTGAGAATTGCCATCAGATAAGATATATTAGAAAAAAAACAGACTTCTGGAAATAATATTTAATTACTTATGTGATTCATTTTTATATGCCAGTCAGAAATTTTTTATATTATCATGGTACGGCATTGTCAGCCCTTTGTAATCTTTTACTTATCAGGTGATCTCCTAGTTTTTATCCAATCTTAATATAGGCTTGTTGAAAGAATATTATATTATCATGTGAGTGGGCACATGGCTGGGCTGGCATAGGCAGTGTCTGTTTGATAGCATGAGTAGTTTTTGATGGATCAACTTCAAACTTTGTATGGAGGTGCCTTACCATGATAACTTGGACAAGGATGATCGCAGTAATTTTCAAACCATAATCCACAGTGTTATGGTCCTTTATCTATATGAAATTACAGAAACAGTATCTTGATGTACGTCAAACAAATCTCTAAGTCACATAATGGTTTATTGTAATGGCTTTGAAGTTGGATGTCACTCTTTTGTAATCTTCAAAAGGAGCATATTAGCCTGTGACTGGTCAGTTTTTTTCTCCTGGAACCAATCACATTGCTTCGCTTGTGCCTTCAGTAGTCCTACATACATTATCCAGGGGTGTAGAAAGCAAAATTGATAGTTACTAATGAATATTGAGGATGCGATAGTTAGGACATGTTAGATAACCACAACTTGGTTAAAGGTATATCTGATTATCCTTTGTCTGAGGTTTACTACCAAGATTGTTTGTTGACATTTATGCACATCCCCAGTTATTCATTTGGGTTTCACTTCTGATGGGCCAATTGAGTGTTGCTTCACTATAGCTAAATGCCAATGTATTTCTAAGAAATTTTGTTAACAGACCCATTTTATCATGCTTAAGCCCGACTTAAGCAACCTTATGAATTTACCGTTTAAATCAAACTGTGGGGGATACAAATTCCATGAATTTGCTGTTGACCATGTATTTATCTCTTTCTTGACAGAGACTGAAGTACATAGTGTGGACATGGCTCTTCTGGGTGTTCAGGACTCTTGTTAATGTAAGTAAATTAAGGATTGTGCAAAACATCATTCTGACCATCTCGATGGCATTTGAATTTACGCTGCAGTTATTTTCAAAATGCTGTATCTTTTTAAAAGTTGTATTATGAATTGAAAAATGGATTCCTGCAGAACTTTGATTTTTTTTATATTTCACTGAGGTTTTATATATTGTATCAGTTGCTAATTGAGATGATGTAATTGGTGTAGAGATTTTTTTCAAATGAGAAGAATTATTTACAATGACTTCAAAATTTGCTCTCAAGTATTTTCATCACATACCTGGTATTAAATAAAAAAGTTGTAAGAGAATCTCTTAATTTTTTCAAGTTGGTTTCTTTAATCCACTGTACATATAAAAGCTAATATTTTGTTCAAAGGCTTCCACACCAAAATGTCTATTGTCTGGTTTAGGAGCTAGTATACACAAACACTATACAGGTATTTAAAGGCACGAGATGAAAAACAAATTACTTTTGTGTTGTAATTTACTTTGATCCTCATTACAGGGAGTTTTCTTTGTTATACTGATTGCCAGAAAGCAAGAAATGGGAGAACAGATGGATATGGAACTGCGGTTTGCCGGAGAACGGAAACGACCTGGTTTTGGATATTAGAGACCTCCCATGCCAAATTTTTGTCTTCTCTGTACTTACTTTGTAAACTACAAGATAAACAAGATCTTTTAACATTATGCCATTTCTAGAAATGGAAGAAACACACAAGGAAGTATAGCTGTTCAAAAAGAGAAGATATAAATGGAAGTATCAGGATATATTTACCAGATATAACATTTATAGTACTAAAAATAAGGTACATGTTTTGCATTCTGAAATAATGTAGTTTTAGTTATCATAGCCTGTACTTAAATACTTTGGCCTAATTTCAGGAAATCATACTTAATTTTGAAAAAGAAATGTATATCATACAGAAATCAAGAGTTTGATTATATAATAATTTTACATGGAAGAAAGAATGTGAAACATTTATGTTTATGGCAATATATAGTTCTCTAAAGTACATGTGTAAATAATCATCACAGATTTCATCTTATAATTCATTGTAGTTCTACAATGTACTGTGCTTAGGTCATCATTGTAGAAAAACACATCTACGGTATGTAATTGACTTCTGTTTTAAAAGGTGAAACTACGCTTTTGTTACCAGCATGTGAATCTCAAGATATGATGATGTACAAATAGAACGCTGGTCCTCACAAAATTCTGAAAGACCTTCTTAAGAATGATTCATTTTATAATCTTTTAAATCAAAAATTATTTTTTTCATTACATTTCATTTGAATTTTTCTTCAAGAATATTTAAGACCCAAGAAGTTAAATGTGATGAATTGAAATACTAGGTAAATCTGTTTGTGAACAAATATTTCTTCTGAAATACCTCTTTTTATCATCATGAGAAATGAATCATGATTTTCATTTTAAAATATCATCAGAATAAATTTATATTTTTTCAGTGATATCAAAACTTGTGTAACCATGAATTCAAAATTTCATTTCAAATGTGCATTCCATTCATTTGTATTCCATTTTCCTGTTGTTCACAATTATTGTAAATATTATGAAGTCAGTCATGTAAATATTCTTCATGTATTTTTAGTGTAAAATAACGTTAATTTTTAACCTGATTTTTGTAATAAAGGAAAATAATAATGATACTGTTGTTTATGATACTTTTGTTTGTCATTACAAAAAACTTTCCAAGTTGTAAACGGAGATAAATCAATGTATAGTTACCGTCATTGTAATTGGGACTGATCACAAGTAATCCTTTCAACAAATATCAGTATTCAGGTCCCCATGGTCAAGTAATATCACTTGTCCATGTATTGTACAAATATCAAAATACTTGGCTTTAAGATATTTTTTTAAGTGTGCCTGTAGTATAATACCCTTTGTACGTTCACATCATCAACATTCATGAATTTCAAACAGTTTTAAAACTAAATAACTGGAACTCTAAAGAATCAACTACTGGAAATAATTTAAGCTGAAATCATTTAACCTCTGTCCAATGCTATAATAATAGAAATATCACAAGTACATATGCACTATGTCAAGAAAATCCAGGAAAACTGACAGAAGAGAAATGTAAGAAAGGCTACATTAAAGACATAAAAAGACCTATGAATTTGTCATTAAACATGCAATGAAAAGTGAATGTTCAGTATGTGTGTTATCCATGGCCATTATATGTGTATCCTTTATGGGTGATCTTTGATAGAAATTCACTATTATTAGAATTACAAGAAATAAAATGATTTAAAAAATGATATCTACTTGTACATAATATCACCTTGCAGGAAAAAATTTGGTTGAGCATACTGTTGTTTGCTTTTGTTTCACTGTTGTATAGTTTGCACTCTTTCAGTCCATCCAAGAAGCTGTCTAGACCATAACGTTGTAAACACTGATGATAATAATTTGAAATAAAACTGCATAACTATGTAGTATCAGCAAGTCCAAGGTCAGATTGGTATCAAGGTCAAATTCAATTTCAGGACTACAATGTCTTACTGTGGGTAGGTCAAGGCTTCATTGAGGTTAGATATCAAATCCATTGTTCAGGCCTTGATTTTAAACTTTGTGAAGATAAATCAATGATATTATATAGAAATAAATACAGAGAGGTAAGAAGGTTCCAGGGTATACCTATTTGCTGTCCCCATGTCCATTTTCAAAGTTATCCTGAGGTTTAAGGCCATTTTCATTGATAGTAGACCAAATAGAAGTAATATGGGTATATAACATATCTGTAAGTATGATGACAAGGTTGTGTGTAGCAAACCATTTTTGGTTGATACCTCAAAGGTCAGTCACATTAAAATTAATAATCTAATTTTTTTCCTTCAGCTGGTCCATTACTTTAGACTCCAGAAGGCATATTAATGAAATGTATGGATGAACAATAAACAGACACTGTTGTGTATTACATTCAAGCAAGTACCTAAAGTCAAGGTTGTGTTACATATAAAGGTCAATATGATTTGAGGCTTAACCTCTAAATCAGATGTGGTAACGGAAGAAAATTAATTATGCTTACAATATACATTCCACCTGCAATTGTGGAAGTGAAGAGTACGGGTTTCCTTACTAGTCATCACTAGTGGTGAAACACATTTATTTAAACTCTGTTTTATGACAGATTTGGTGCATTGATCACTGCAGATATAAAGTTGGGTTATGGTTGTCTTCAGGGGATAAGACTCGTGGAAAAGGGAGTACGGGTCACTTTACCAATCTTGACTAGCAGGATTCCTTTGAGCCAAATAGTATGGTGTGTGTTCTGATAGCAAAAGGTTTCCAGTTTGAGTCCCTACGGGGCAGGACATGGTTCATTACACCTTCATATTCAACACTTACTTTTCAAGAAAACATTCACCAGTTGATGATCCTTAGATTTGTTTACTTTGATAAATGATAAAAGACAAAAAAAAACAAACAAATATTTTATTGTAAATTCATGACAAGATGTTGATATACAAGATGATACAGGTCAATATTTACACATACAATAAATATAAAGCATTTAGTGAATTTGTTCACTTCAAAATATTCAACACTTAGTAATTCTAAATACAATTGCAATAACCTTTCGGAAATATTTATATAGTGTAGACAAACACACTTATCAAAATTGTCAAAATTCAATCATTTCTTCTTTTCTCAAGGAAATAATAACAACAATTTGGTCATGCTGGATATGAACAAACCTACTGTCATTAAGACACAAAAAGATGATTTTTAGTCTTAACGTCATTCATCAGAACTCACAAAGATAACATATAATGGTATCATACTTCAACACAGGGCTGTTTCTTGATGATCTGCCATACTGAATTTGGTTAAGTTTGATACAAATCTTTAATCGGTTTTCAACCAGCTTGTTAAGCATATCTTATTCTTTGTAAAATAAAAACATTTTCTTTTTTCAATGTAAAGATTTCATTCATGAACATCATCAAGATGGTGGTTTTTCATCAAGTTCTTTTTGAATTTCCTCACAAGTCTTTTGAGCACGTTTCCCTTTTCGTTTTGACAATGGTTCAGGAAGAACGGCATTTGGATCGAAGGGGTAAGTATCATCAAGGTGTGTATCTTTTGTTATCCGTAATCCTGAAGGAAAAGGTAAAGGTAATGTTAACTAATAAAATCCAACATAATATTACATAACCAGGAGCTGGTAATACTAACAGAAACAACAAGTCAACAATATATAGATAAGGGAAACCTGCATACCTGAAGAAAACCCACATGATCAGGCAGGTTACGGACCCATACCCGGACGCCTTGATGAAAGGCAAGAGTATAAGTACAGCACCTCCCAACCAATCAAAAAGAGGAGCTATCAGAACAATGTTTGAATAAGGAACAATGTAGTATTTTTCAGAAAATCATTAAAATGTGGCAAAATTGTATCGGCAACGCATCTACTCACTGTATCTGTTCTCTCCTACTAGTCTGGCTTGTATGACAGTTTTCCTGAGTATCAAATCAGCATCCTCAGCAACTTTTATCAGCTTTAACAAATAAATTCAAATTTGATCATCAAAAGGAGTTTTACAAGTAGAACTTTGATATCACACAATATCTTAGTTAATCAAACTTTTAAAACAAAACCATGTAGCCTCCTTTAAATACAGCTGTATTGTGGATAAAGTGTTGAATGAATTTTTGTGTTAAAAGTTCATTTCAATGCAGGAACAAATAACACTGTTAACTACAAATCTCTCTGAGATGACAGTCTTATTCATAAATACGAAATGAGTAAATTTAATATGCAACCAACAGGGACAGCACACGCATAAATAATTTATATCATGACATTACCTCTTCGATCTTTTCTGGATCTGTTTCATTTTTTCCCTTTCTGAATTCATCATTGATCCTCTTTCTGGTCTCTGAAACATAAGATTATTGATAAAATCTTCAGTCCACACATTTATAAACTATGTATAGAATTTAACACAAGTTCCAATACTACAAATATATTATCTAATATTTATATAACTTTCAGATCCATCAATTTACCTTTGAATCATATGCAAGAGGTTGGAATTTCTCGACAGGAAATATTCTGTTTGTACTCTGCATGATCAGTAATTTATCTCACTTTGCGAATCAGTTAAAAAAAACTTGTAGATTATCAAAGTAAATATTTATGTTAAGGTATTTGTTCAATATTTAACATGTGAAATATTCTATATAAACTGTATACCTAAAACATTTGCTCAAGGTTGTTTTCATCTTTGACTTGAACTTTTCATTTTTTCAGTTTCAAATTCCCTTGAAATATAATCCCTTTTTATTTTTGTCCCATTTGTTAAAGGATAAAACAGGTGAAATTTAAACTGTGGTGCACGATTTTCCCAGATCCAAGATACAGTACATGCATTTACAATTGTTGATACCTTTTATTGCAAAATCATCATCTTGGAAGACAGCATACTTTGTTTTATGTAGTTTTCGAAAGCACTGCAAAACCTGAAATGATACCAGTATATAAAACAAATGCATTAATTTTTTTAATCCCAGTACATGATGTATTAGCCACAATATTATGCTTGGTTACAGAGAACTTTTAACATAGCTCAACTGGTCAAGCAATCTAGGTCCAACATAGGAGTTTTGATTGACATGGCTAGAAAGAACTTTTCAGCTTCAATGGTTCAGCAATAGTCCATAGTAAGCCAAAGTTCCAAGGTTTGATACTGATCTATAGTATTGTGCAGGAATTGATATAAATACTTACCTGTGTGATGATAAAACAGGAATTGATATAAATACTTACCTGTGTGATGATAAAACAGGAATTGAAGTAAAGAACTACCTGGTAAATGTCCCAAAATTATTGGCAGTTAATCTTGTTGCCTTTTCTGTTACATAAATATGGTAAAAAGACATTTCATCACCAAATCTTCAGACTAGACAAGTAGTATGAAAAAAAAAATGAACATCAAAAATGATTTCTGATTTCTGTCAGCCAAAATTGTTATCTGGTAATCTGGTATACAAAGTAAGGGAGCATGCAAAAAGCTTTTGATTTCTCATAAAACTTAAAAATCAGATGTAAGCTGAGAAATATATCTATTACTGCTTGCATTTACCAATAGTTGTTTCTAATCTGAAATAGATTTAAAAAACAAGGAGTGAGGAAAACCTAATGATCCATTTGGTATTCATGAAATATAGGCTCCTTATCAAACATTGAAATTTAGGGTGTCCCATCCTGTAGATCCTTCTGAACAAGTTAAAACCAAATTGATATTACATATAAAATTTGAATAGATTAACCTGGTTTTCTTTGATCAATGTGAATAAAATTCTCAAGCTATCTAAGCTTAAAATGGCTACTTTGCAGCAGACCTATTTTTTTGTTATTTGTGTTTATATGATTAAGCCAGGGTGATTAGGGAAGAAAGTGCACTCAAATTTTACTTTTTTGTGATAATATTAATTTAAAATGAGAAATCACAACCGATTACAAGTACAGCTTGATCAACAATCATACTCTATACTTTTCTGCTGTACAGTTTCAGGTTGACATAAAAAAATTAGTTGTGTGGTAGAGTGTCCGGCTAGAGACTAAAGGGTCACTAGTTCAAACCCTGTCGGGTGCATGTTTTTTTTCATTACGCATTCCTGTTATCAATTTGGTGTTGATAACCACTTTCAATGTAGAAGTCTCTATTATTGAGCCATTCTATCATCTGTATTTATATCTGATGTGCACGGACTCCTGACCGATATAAAAAGTCAACGGAACATCAGAATAATTTTGACTACAAGGCCTAGGGTAGAAGCTGGAAGACTGAGATGCTCTTGGAGATATTGAACCAGAATTGTTGTCTTCGGAATAAAAGACTTTGTGAAGAAGGTAGAAGTGAGGAGTTGGAAAGTACTGGTCTCCTTACTACTACTAGCGTTGGTTAAAAGGAATTTGCCCTTTAATCGAGAGGTAGATTGTCTGGCTAAAGACAGAGAGGCCTTCCGGGTGCAGGGTATTTTTCATCACTACTTCCTAATACAAATACAACAGTACAGTATCAGCACGTGTACCAACCTCGTCGGTCAATACTATCATGACATGATAACCTCTGCATCTGTGTTGTTCATGGTCATTTATGAAACTTATTTTCTGACCTTGGTCTGTACGCTGGAAAAAAAAATAGGTCTGATATGCACTTCATAACGTAAGCGAGAAGGTACCATACTTGATACTAAGCAAAAATGTCACAGTATTATCTGGACATGTATATATGACAACAAATCTTACCCTGTATCTGGTTGCAACAGACATCGCCGCACGTGTTTCGGTTGGTAGTTTAGAAAGACAGGTGTACTTCCGGATTCAGAGGCATGCGCAAATAAGAAAATCCAAGGAAACAAACAATATGGCGGACGTGGGTTGAGAATTTGCTAAGTGTTATGCACTTTTTACGCATCAAAACTTTACAGGTAAAATGCCATGTACAAAACTCTGTTTCGCCGTTTCATATTTTCATTTTACATGATGTGTAATATAGTTTATTGAAAGTGTAGTATAAGTTTCCTGTCATCTTCTCCTGAACATAAAGGAGGATTGCGGTAAATTCGATTTTACGTGCACCTGACCTGTAAACAACTGGTAAACCGCACGTCCAGTTCACAGGATAATCAAGTATCGCAATGCTCCTAAATTGAATTTAAGATGCATTGTTGGTCATTCTCCTATATGAAATAAATTATCACTGCGTGGGAGGTTGGCAATAGAGGCCTTACCTTGGGCATGTGTTAAAATAATTATCTTAGACAGATGTGACGGGTTGTTTTGATTGTACTAGTGGTAATAGAGGGTTTTCCCGTTAGCTTTATTGATAGAGACCGGACTCCTTTACTGATAAGCTAGAGGTCGCATGGCCGATCTCATCCGGAGTGACATTACTTTTTTACTGTGATACAGGTAACTGATAAAATGTAGTCTGGTTTTTATTACGATCATAAATGGGCATTATATATATAGCGCTTCATTTTCTTTCTTTCTTTTATAAATTTCGTATAAATTGGAGAGCACTCTTCTGGAAATTACTAATATGTACACATAAGTAATAAAATGGCGATATATATGACATTAGAATTACAAAAATGTAGTTAGAATACCACTGGACAATCACAGAACAATATAATACAGTTGTTGCTATATGCATGATATCATTGTTGGACCTGGCCAGCTAACTATACTGGTGTAAAAGGATTATCATGTCGGAGACCTGAGTTCATTTTTTGTTAGGGTACTAGGCAGGAATGTGTATTTTCCTCTGTTCTTTTATGCTTTTGTCAAAGAACCTCATTTCACAAAATTTGCATATATCTAGAATCTAACAAAGCATTTGTGGTAAAAATCCAGTCTTGAAGCTTTCCCTAAATCCCAATGCAGTGGACCCTACCACAATTCCTTGTGTTCATTTAGTCAAAAAACATCCAAACTTGAGTTGTAAACAATGTTATCGGTAATTACAATATCCATGTGGGAACAAGACACAGAAAAGGTGGGAGGAGTATAAGGGAATTGGACCATGCAGCCAGTTGACTCCCAGTGGCTCATTGTACTGTATGTTTGGCATTTAAGAATTGCATTATTTAATGTCCAATACATGATTGCAAGAGATGACTTATGCGGGTAAAGCTGTCCCAAGATTGACCATCCTGGATACTCCAGGGGTTACAGTCAATTTCGCACTCTGATCCCCTGGGACATGTTTTGGCAAAATTTTTGAAGATTACAGAGAAGCGACATCTAACTTCAAAGCCATTACAATATAAGGTTATGTGACCTCAAGAAACTAGTCTTTTCATGTTGTTCACAGGGTGTTACACATGGAACCTTCAATTTCACCAAGACATGTTCCAGGGGTACAGAGAGTGAATGTGATCTTAACCCCTTGGTTATTGAGGATGAAGATACAAAAATCAATGGATTAAGAGGCTGCCATCCTAATATACTTTTAACATAACATTTCATTGGGATGGAACTATAAAATGACCCGTATAAGTGTAAATGTACTAAATGTGTTGACAGGACACTAAAAACATCAAGAAAATACCAATATGTGAACATAAATCAAAGTTAAGCGAAATCAAACTAGTAGCTCAATAAGCCAGAACATAAATCATGATTTTGGAAATTATATGTCAAAACATGTTAAGTTTATTTGTCAGCAATATGGTTCATTTATGCATAATTGATGTGTTATCTTGCCATGATTTCATCAGTAAATTTTCTTACATTCAATCATATCAACTAGACATTTTTTTTTTTTTTTTTTGCCTAAAATGTGTAAGAACACTTATCTTAAACCATCTCACGAAACTTTTTTCACCTGTTAAAACATGTCTCATTTTTAGTGAAATAGCTAACAGGACACCATGCCAATCACAAAAATTCCAATCTCCCACAAGTTTGGGATCATCTCCCATAGTCAGCGCCTGGAGCTTCAGGAAAGACTTCTCAAACAAACCTACCTCCAGAGTGTCCAGAGCCAGAAAGTTGTAGTACAGACAAGGTAAAGAGTTAGATTTGTAAAGATTTCAGTTGTCCAAATTTGATAAATTTTGTTAATATCACCCAAAAAGACTTTTCTTTATAGACTATGTTACCTGTTTATTACGTGAAATCAGACAGCCTTTACAATAATGTAAGTGAGAGAATTTGCTTCTATAACGGTAATGATAACTATGAAAAGAATTGAATAAATCATCACAATGAGCTAAACCTTTACTTGTAAATTCTTCTAATTTGTTTCTCATTTTCTCATTTATAGATTTTACCTGTCGACAATACGACAATTCCTAAAGCTAAAAATACATTTTTTCACAGATTTTTACTTAGGTACATCACACAGTTTTTAGGTGTATTATTGCATATTATAAATGAAGCATTTGTGATTGTGACTGATTTCTCACTGGAAAAAAGAAACCAACAATGTATTTTCACTAAAATTTATATCTTACTGTATGAGTTAGTACCATTCCCAATAAAAATTTTAACAAATATTCTAACAATATAGATTAAATATTTTATGCTTCTAGCTGAAAAGTAAGGTTGATATCTATATCTATCTTATTTCTAACAATTATGCTTGATAAATTGATTGAAAAAGCAATCATGTCACAATGACAGATGTTACCTTCAGAAATGCCCATTTGATATTATGTAATCTATTACAACTTTTATAAAATAACTTCTCTCTTATTCTAACAAGCCGAAATCCACTGGAAGTGACAGAAGAATTCATCAAACAATACAATGAGGTTAAAGGATTGGAAGAAAAACAACAATTAGAAACCACTGCACAGAAGATGCTAGAAAGGGCAAAGGTCAGTCATTTTATGTTAACGGTATAAAGGTCAGTCATTCTAACTTAAAAGTATGCCTTACCACAAATGAGAAAAAATATTCAGCTCTTGAATACACCCTGTCGTGGTACTGAGCCATATGTATATACTGTATCCACATGAAGATTTTGGTTAGCTATAATGATCCCTATTTCTACAGAGGAGAGCAGGACTACGAGATAAAGGAAATGGACAACATGTCAATCTGCCGATGGCATGGACAGAGTTAGCTCAGCTGGCACAGTGTAAAGGCAAGATTCAGGATGGTAAGTAGACATTTGATATGGATCCAATGGAAAATCATTACTGGTACTGATGTTTGTATCTGTTTGGTGTTTCGCACAATTACCCAAGGAGTAACAATATGACTTCTATAGACATCTTCATCCATTTATAGGCAATTCAAAACAAGATGAAGAGGAAATTGATCAAGTTCTATTGGTGATAGTGAATAATGAAATAAATGACTGGTAGATGAACAATGTTTGATTAAATACAATGCAGTATATAAATCTTGAATGTTTTCTTCATTTGATAAAACAGTATGATGAAATTTGCTTTAAATACTTAGTGTAATTAAATCCCATTATACATTTTTACCAACAGAGTGTTTGGATGTATTGATTATCTCCCTTGACCAGTCCCCACTTGAGAAGTATCACATCCCAGCTCTGTTTTTCCTGGCTGAGACCATGTTATACTGGCTGAGGACAGACTCTGTACACCAACCCTATCTCAGAACAGGAGAAATCAAACTGCTCAAGGTGAGTATCAAGTGAAGTAGACAATTCAGTCTCTGTGATAAATCCTACTTGTCTTAATCATTTTAATCATAACCTAATTTGGCACCAACAAAACAAAAGGGGATTCTAGATCTAGGACTCCATTTTCAACATCATTGGTAACCAATGGTTTTGATGCTCACACATGAGTGTCAGGACTGTGGGTTTCACAAACATGAGTTTGTTGGTAATGTTTCTGAAAATCAATCATTTTTGTGTTTAATCTCTCATTCCAATCTCATGTACTTTGTAATCAACTTAAAACCACATGGGATAGATAGTTTTCTTGCTGATTCCCACATTATGACAGTCTTTACTTTTAATTATCACTTATGTCAGGCTTTCTTAGGAAATACTTTGTGTAACTTTTCTATTAAATTTGGAAGTTGTTTATGTAAATGATATATGAAAGATGTACAAAACATAAATGTCAGGTTAAATTTGATTGAGATAAAGCAGATTTTAACACAGGTAATTGTATAGATAATGTGTGTAAGATAATTGTTAGAATTTGTTCTCTGCCATAACTTTCAAAATGAAACAATTGCAATATAACCCTTCCTTGTATCATAATTTGTATCACAGAGTCCCAAATTTAACTTGAAATATTTCATCTACACCCTAGTGAATCATATCTTTCTTTTAAATCTGTCTTCACATGGGTGTTACATAGCGTATGGACAGTAGCTATAGCAGTGTATTTCTTTACTTACAGATGGGTGAGCTGACCTTCACTAGGCTGTTTTACCATCACATGGCTGGACAACTTCAGGGACAGAATGAATTCAAAAGTCGACTGTTCACCTACCTTGATGGTCTGTAACTTGGTAATCTCTATGTATTACAGTTCATTTGTATTCTTGTTTGAATTTGGGACTGAGCTGGCTGAGCTTATAGAGGGCAGTACAATCCCTACTCTCTAATTACAGTTTGTGTTTCTCAGAAAGTGGAGATCACAGACAAACTTGTGCACTTATGAATGTGTCCTTTGATAAGACACATTTAGTCTGCCCCATTTGCTTTTAAAAGCATGTAACTTGCCTCCTGCATGCTGTCCAGTGAGAAAGTTATTACAAGAAGACCCTGTCTTGATACGAAATTTCATTGGTTGGTATTAATGTCAATTTGGTACCATTTTTAAGAGAAGGAAAAATATGTGAGATGTGCAATGTAAACTTGTAGTAGAACCAGAGATTGTGTCAAATGGTGTTCACTTTGTACCCAGCACTGCCCCTATGTCACTGATCTAGGATTCATTTCCCTGCTGTATACTACAATTTTTTAGGAAAATTTGTAAGATTATCTGGATACAAAGCTTCCACTGTTTCTATGTCTGAGTTTGCCATTATTGTATATTGTAGGTTTGGGAGAATGCCAGGAGGCTTACAACCCCTATCCTAATGCACTTCTGTGCTTAAGATTTATCATCACTGTGGGGAAGATCATCATGGCCGATGCACAGATGGAGCCAGGAGAGATCAAGGAGGGTGACATCTTTTCTAAACCTCGCACCCCTCTGAGTAGACCTAGTCGGGTATGCTATCATCTTTTTATTAAATGTCTTGATTAGCAGTGATCTACATATTTTAATTAGCCTTTTATAGGCCAAGGGAACCACAACATTAACTCTGACTCAAAGTAAGACATTAAGCTTGTTACAGAAAAATGGATTATTAGTATCTCTAATGAAAGACCAAAAGATGGTAGAATGCATTTTAACAAATATGAACTTGCAGTTGTAAAGGAAATTTAGTGTTTTCTCTATACAATAGAGTCTCTTCCCCATTCATTTTCCAATGAAATAGATTCTATCCTCTGGATTGGTTTTGTTTTATGGTGAAATCCATGACAGTTTATGAATGTTATGTATGGTTGACTTTCAATTTCTCCTTTGTTTGTTTAGTATAAACCAAATTTGACATGATCTGACTTTACCTCCCTTACAGCCTTTGAGTCGGGATGCATCATTTGTGGGTAATGAGAGTACCAAAGCTGACACGAGGGATAACACCAGCTTCTCTGCACACAGTGGAGCCATCAGTAGCAGTGTCCATGACCTCAGCCCCACACTCTGGCATGCTTTGGATGTGTGGCGTTGTACAAACCATTTAGGAGGAGGTCTAGGGGAGGCTCTCAGAGCCCTTGCTCACTGTGGCATGGGGCTTTCCAATGAAAACTGGTCAGTAATGCTGTAGTTATATTGTACATTAATATCAAAATATCATTCACTTTATACTTACTCATGTTGTATTTGCCACAAATATACCCCCTTTTTGGAAATATGCCCCTTCGCTACACTCTTCCAGGATTAGAGAGGCTTACTCAGAGTTTAGCCACAATGCAAGCAAATGATATGAAGTCACATGCACTTTACTTAAATCTTTATCATGTAAAATACCTGTTATTTGTATAATCACTTATCATAACCACTTTAACATGAACTCTTTGTATGAGAGTAATTCGTAATGTCCAATATGCACCAAAATCTAGACATGACTAACTTTAACTTGCTTTACTATTATTGAACTTTTGTAACAGTTATTTACACTACTAGTTTATAAAAGTCACTGTAATACAGCTATCATTGATCAGTAATGAATTTCTGTTTGATATTGGAAATAAGATGTGGAGTTTTTGATTTTTTTCTCTCAGGATAGACACTATGATTGCTCTGAAAATATTAGCTGAGGCAGCAAAGACAGACATAGCAGCCATGCAGACCCTACACAGTCTGGCTCGTGGTAGCAAACCAAAGATCCGAGGTGGTACACCTCCGGAAAGCTCCGGTACAGATGGATCAGGTGACTAATACATACTCTTTCATTTATATTAGAAAAAAAATTCACCAAGGTTATGTTCTGATATGTTTGTAATGGAGACTTACAGTTTAGGTATATCATTTATATTTTGAAATATTAGAGAACATCATATCTAACTATGCATAAAACACATTATCTATTAATAGAATAAAAATCATATAGTTTTTACAGCATAAAGTATGCTGACGTATTTTTGCCAAGTTTAACTGAAGCAGAGAAGAATTATAATGTTATATGAAAATGATTACATGTGGCAGCCACCTTCAGCTATACACAGCGCCAATTCATAATGTGTTATATACTTGAGTCAGTAAAATTTCATCTGCTTAATGTTTTAACCTATATGATTGCTGCTTGGAAATCATCGCTTTCATGATTACATTGACATTGTTTGATTATTTGTAATGGTTTGAGATACAATCATCAATACCCTTTTGTACAAATTCTGTTTTATTATGGGATTAATGTTGTGTGTGATGTTTTGTTGTTCAGCTGATGACAAAGATGGTATGAACATTAGCTCAACACCACACTTCCTGGCACTATTATACATCCCACTGTTGTACACCACACTTCCCGGCACTCCTGTACTTCCCACTTATGTACACCATACTTCCTGGCACTCCTGTACATCTTACTTATGTACACCACACTTCCTGGCACTCCTGTACATCTCTCTTATGTACACCACACTTCCTGGCACTCCTGTACATCTCACTTATGTACACCACACTTCCTGGCACTACCTTACATCTTACTTATGTACACCACACTTCCTGGCACTACCTTACATCTTACTTATGTACACCACACTTCCTGGGACTACCTTACATCTTACTTATGTACACCACACTTCCTGGCACTCCTGTACATCCCACTGTTGTACACCACACTTCTTGGCACTACCTTACATCTTACTTATGTACACCACACTTCCTGGCACTACCTTACATCCCACTATCGTACACCATATACTTCCTGGCACACCTGTACATCTCTCATATGTACACCACACTTCCTGGCACTGTCTTACATCCTTCTGTTGTACACCATACTTCCTGGCACACCTGTACATCTCTCTTATGTACACCATACTTCTTGGCACTACCTTACATCTCACTTATGTACACCACACTTCCTGGCACTCCTGTACATCCCACTGTTGTACACCACACTTCTTGGCACTACCTTACATCTCACTTATGTACACCATACTTCCTGGCACACCTGTACATCCCTGTTATGTACACCACACTTCCTGGCACTCATGTACATCTCACTGTTGTACACCACACTTCCTGGCACTCCTGTACATCTCACTGTTGTACACCACACTTCCTGGCACTCCTGGACATCCTACTGTTGTACACCATACTTCCTGGCACACCTGTACATCCCTGTTATGTACACCACACTTCCTGGCACTCCTGTACATCCCACTGTTGTACACCACATTGTTTTATACACCATTCTATGTTTGGGAGATATGAGAAGAAAAGATGGATATTACATCTTCCTTGCCTGTGACACACTGTTGCACTTTTATACTTCTATAATAGTTTTTTTATATTTTCATATCAAAATTGGATTTCGATATTAATGGTAGAGAATAAAAATGAACATCCAGTTCTATCTATTTGAAGTTCTGATTTAGCATTCTAAGTTCCAGTAAAACTGTATATTAGCATTTTTATGCCATACTATTATTTCGCACGTTTTATTATTTGATAAGCTTGTTACTTAAATGTTTAATATAATTCAGTGTTATAATTGGTGTATCTGACAAACAAGTTATTACAGTAATCTGATTCACATTTAAAATTCAATACTGAATTAGCAATAATAATACTTGTAATATATATAAAATTAATGAAAACAAATATATGAAATTGATATATGTGACAAGGACCTTCTATCAAATATCTCTCAAACAGAGAATGAAATCCTTCCCAGCATGTCTGTATTATTTTTCCTAGTGTTTTAATGTCTGTCATTTTCTTAGTTAATATCATTTTGCACATACTTATTATACAATCCTTCACATTTAGTTGAATGTCATTAGAACAGTGTGTGTATTTTACAGATAGATTGGTTGTGTATTTCTTAAACTACATGTTATTATATAAATCAGTAATTATGTTGATATCTACCAGGGATGTATAAAGATTATTATCAGTTTTAATGAGATCCTCTACATCTCTGTATTTAGCTTCATGGGAACCCAACAAAGGTATACATCAAATCATGCTACCATACTTCAATATATATGTATATATTCTGGGAAAGAATACTAACATTTTTTTGACAGTAGTAGGACCCATTGATTCACTACCTATATAGAAGCAGCAACATTGGCTGTTCTTCTGATATATTAACATTTGTTCAGAGTACAAATAGGATCTTACATTTAAAGTTTCAAACAAGTCTGACAGATAATTCATTTTAGCAAAAACATGATAAGCTAAAATGTAAAGTAAATAACTGTGATGGGATTCATGAACTCAAATAGGAACAAATAAATAAATTTATTTATCACATGATCAAAATCTTTATTGTGAAAAAGGCTGAAACATGTTTTTATGTCTATGTCACTCCTGAATTCATCCTGGATTTATATTATCTATTATTTCCATTGTTACATCATAGTTTATAAGTTAGACATGAGTGGTTTCACTTTACTAGTATTATGTACTAGATCAGAGATAATATATATATATCATAAAATAATTAGGAAAAATATGATATATGGGTATAACAATAATCATGATTAGTCATATGATAACTGTTGATTAGTTCTAGAATTACAGACTTTAATCAGGTGTTTTCATCCTACTTTCTATGGTGTTAAATATACTCACCAGATTTGAGTGTAGCTAACCATATAGAAAATTATATGTTGTTATTAAAATAATTTATGACTAACATGGAATATTGGTTTACATTTTACAAAGTCACTTTGAGTGTGTAACTGAAATATATTTATACTGATCTAAAGAAACATATGTGTATTTGTAAATCTGTACAATGAAAAATAAGTTAAATTCATATATAACAATCAATGATTTTGATGTAATATTATCATTCTGGCAATTCCAATGCATTTTGTTTGAAGTGAAACTTAATATATGGTATATCAGTGTTGATATCATTATCATCCCTATACAGATAAAAGCAAATTGACATGGCTTTTCCTAGTTTACCCTGACTCTTGCTATCAGCTGTTTTATATACTTAACTTTTGACTTTGTTTTTATCCACAGATATATACAGTGTTTCTAGTGATGGTGATGAATCTCACCGTGGGGATGAGAGCTACCTCAGTTCTAAACCAACTCTCAGTGACATCTATGAGCGAAGTGATGAGGACCGGGACTCAAGATTGACCAATAAACTTACTCCCGACCAAAGAGAAGCCAAACTAAGCAGAGAAAACCTTGAGAAATTTGATAATAAACTTAAATCTGCCTTGAAGGAAAACACATCTACGTCACCAGTGAAGGGTCCACAGAGAGAGGTGTCTTTTGCTGACAGTAATGGTAAAGGCAAGAAGAAGGAGAAGAAGTATTCAAGAGAATCAGATCATGTGATAGACCCACACACTAGACAGTCAAAACAGAGTGATCAGACAGGGTTCAGAGTGGAGCTAGGATCGGACGCTAGTGGGCGAGACTCACAGGCTAGCTCTGTCCCAACCTACACGAACCTACCAGTAAGTTAATAGTCCCAGTTCTAACATCTACAGACCTACCAGTAAGTTAATAGTCCCAGTTCTTACCTCTACAAACCTACCAGTAAGTTTACAGTCCCTACATAAAAAGACCTACCAGTAGGTTGATAGTCCTTACATGCACGTACTACCGGTAAGTGAACAGAGTCTGAAATATGAATTTGTGTTAGACACATTACATGACCTAGATACAGGAAATAGTAATCATCAGGTCAGTTTTTGTAAATCAAGACAAATTGTGTACAGACAAGCTCTGTGTATTAATTGGACATTAACATTTGAGTATTTGTAACTTAAAAACCCCTAGCCAATGCTTTTTCCTTTCTTCTTCAGATGTCGGACACCCCTGGTCTAAATGGTTGGCACTGGGAGGTGGCCATCACCTATACAGACATCCTAGCAGACATTTGTCTGTATGGAGCTAATGCTAACATTCAGAAAATGGCTCTTATTGGAAACAATAAGGATGTGACTAATCCAGTTAGATACCATGTCCACAATTTACCACTGAAAAGTAGTGGACTGTTAGATCTGGCTTTCTTCCATGCTACCAATGAAGTCAGGGATGGTGGTGAGATTTTGTTTTTTGTTTAAATGTTATTTAGAAGTATATAAATTATGCATTCTGTCTTAACCCCTGTTGTCATGTGATTTGACCAGTTTACAGAGCATTGTCTACTAAATAATGGTAATCATTGTCGGATTACCTGGATCAGACAAGTAATGTCGGGATTGAACAGTGTCTGGTATAGTCAGAGCTTAGCCAGATGTATAACTGAACAACTCTACACTGATTTCACGATCATATATTGATACTTTTGATTACTTCTTAGATATTTTGTACCTAGGCTTTTATTGTGCTATACTATCTTCAAAATTAACAATGATAAAGTTATGATAACCCAGACAGTCAATGTTGATTTCTCCTGTCTGTAAAGGGCATATGTGATATGATGATTTCTAGACAAAATCGTCAGTAATCACATCCATCTTGTTTATTCTAGTCTTCTCTTATTCTTCTGCTGTTGTCATTACTGACAGCATATGGAATAATGTACTCAATAATTTCTGCCCTGTGAAGTTGTCATTGCTTTGTAGTCATTTACAGTTATTTTGAATTACCAATGTGTTGGGTTGTCTATAAGATGGTGCCCAGTTTAAGGATTTTAGTCAGTATTTTACTCATACATGTACCTGCATAGAATTATAACCATTTTCATTTAAAAACAATTTGACAAAGGACATAGAGTTTTTGACATTTTTTTATTAAAATAGTGATTATAGTACAGAAAATAATTGAAACAGGTGTTTCAGTAACAGATCTGTAAGCACTAGTCTATGTATACATCACATGTAGGTATAAAACCTTAAGAAGTACACAGCAGGTCACTAATAATTTACAACTATAGATCAGCTAGACTGAATCAGCATTTGAATGTTAGTGCACTATATAATCATATCCTAAAGTCATTGTTACAACAAGTCACCATAACATGACTGACCATCAGTCTCCAACAACACAGAATAAGCTGGACTTGCGCTGTCACAGAGTCTCGGAGAACACAGAGTAGACAAGGGTCATATGATCGCCATCTGAATCACAGACCCCTAGAGAACACAGAGTAAGCAATGGTCAGTGTAGTGGTCAAGTCATCTTCCTCAGTCTGTTGGTGATCAGGTTGTGGGGGGAGTGGCAACATTGTACCATCTATAGCAAGGGTATCAATGATCAGTTTGGATAAAGTACGAATCTGGTTCCATTTGTCAACACGGTACTGATGGAAAGCATGTCTCACTCCCTCTATGACAGACTTCCTGTTGAGGAGGTGTAGTTGAAGGCCCTGCTGTCCCTCTGCATGGGCAGATAACACCTTCACTTCAAGATCACTGAGCTTGATATCTGAAAAATTGAAAAAAGAATGTGAAAAAGTGTAATCAACATTTGTTCAACACTTTGGGTCAGTATAGATGAAACAAATTGTCCTCGTTTGGATAAATGTGTACTTGTTTATGATCTGTGTTACAATACCTATCTTATGATATATTCTTTATTTGTCACTCGATTTACATATTGTACTAGTCACATGATACCTATATATACTGTTTACCTACCTATGAGTTGGATCTGTGTGAAAGCCTTATCGTGAGCAACCAGTAATGTCCTTAACTCCAGGGCTAGACAAGCAATGTCTTTATGGTCCATGGTCGCAAATTTGTCAGGTGCTTGAAAGGTTCTTGGTGAAGGTATTAGATCAATGTGATTAACTACAGGAAATTCTCCCAGTTTTATCAGGGTGGTATTTTAATTTGAGTAGCTTTGAGCAGCTCCAATCTCACTATATCTCATTTTCTGAGGACATCCACTGTTAGAAGATGGTCTAATTATTGAGTTGTTATTAGTATGTGAGGACAGACAAATGAAGCCACTATACTAATTATAAGTTAATCCTTTTATAAAAATACAGTGTTGTTACATTCTAGTTAGATCAAAGGGCCAGTGGTAGATCAGGTAGAGGTGTGATCATTGAAGCCTTACTTCCTCTTTGTCTAATCATTAATTACCTACCTGTGAATTTCACACCTTGCTTTTTGTTTAGGTAAAGGCTAATAAAACAAAAACACAAGTGTTCTGTTATTGAAAATATTCATTTTTATTCATTATGTTTTTAAAACAAATAAAATTCATTTTAATTTTAATCATTTTTCCTTTATATAAAAAAAACTGAAATTTATTGATATTTACAAAATTTGAAATTGTGTTGTTCATTTTTCATAAAAATAGAAAAAAACATCAATAGATTAGGTTGAGATAAACAATCAATTTTATTCAATATGAAATTAATAGATTATGCAACTATTTCTATGTAATTAAAACAGTTTTAAAGAAATATCTTTACCATATTACCATTTAGTTTGATGTTTATCTAAATTCTTCTTTGTAATTAACAAGAACAATAGAACAACAATTCATTGTGTAAAGTATCAATTAAACTATCTTTGTTATTTAACAAGGGATATGGAAAAGTTAAATAGTTTTATGATGTTATAACAAAAACAAAGAATCATCATATTCATTCTTTCCTGCAACATATAACCCATCCTAATGCCAAAATAGAAATACATGTGCCAAAGGACTTTAGATATTAGAAAGAATCTTATATGTCACTGCTGTTTTATATTTGTTTTTTAATGATTAAGTGAAAATAGTATAAAAATCTCCAAAAATATTACTTTCAAAACAGAAAAGAGTTATGTGGGCAATAAAAAATGAACATGAAGTAAATTATCATAAACCATTTTCCTTGAAGGGCCGAACGACTGGAGCTGGAGAATACGCTATGGAGCAATACAGTCTCTGGTGAAAATTGTGCGTTGTCTTGGTGCAGATAAGAATAAAGAAGGAATGAAAACTGCTGCATGGAACATCCTCCTGAAGGCCCACTCTCATGAGAAGGATGACCGAGTCTTAGAGGCACTCAAAGTTGGTCAGGTCAGTTGATCACATCATTATATGTACAAGTATGCTACACTGCAATGGCTCGTCTAAATCAAGTATGAAAAAAATTAATACAGAATTTAGTTACATAAAATCTAGACAGCATTTTTTTGAGATAACACTATTTTGCTGTCCCAGTTTTATTATGAAGGGGACCTTTGAAGCAAAAACTAGAAAAGAAAGAATATATATTTGAAATCAAGCTTGTAATATTCTCATATTTCTACAAAATTTGTGGAATACATGAAATTTTTAACTGATACTTTATATTCATTATAGGTTCATACTGATATAGAGCAAATGTTTGAGAAATTTGCATCACAAACCCAGCCGGTTATGATAGGATCCAAGATGGCTGCTGGGCTCTCCAATATTTACCTACCTCCACTGCCCCCTCCTGTAGATCACTTTGTGCCTAAGCCCAAGGCCTCATCCCCACCTTTCAAATTCAAACAGGACCTCTCCCCAAGAAAGACTGTTCCCAACAGGACATCTCTTAAGTAAGTTTTGTTGTCTAGGTATTGTGACTATCAGAATTCCTAAAAGAATGATCCTTCTGTCAATTTCTTACATTCTGAATCAAGCTCAGAAAACAGATAGAAATTGTTTAATTATTCATATGTAATTGGTGAGAAAAATTTTCATGATAGTGGATTTAATCTTACTGCTATAGGTGTTATTTGCAGTGAAGTTGGAAATGATCAATAGTTAAAGTCATTTATCATTAACCACTTTTAAGGCCCTTACAAGCAGTGTGCATCTGGGCCAAGTAGTTAATTAAGTTGATCAAACTTGTATCATGATCACTCCCTCTCTATAAGTAATTTTCCTCATTAGATTAAAAAAAAAATCTTTTTTTTTTTTAGCAAAACTCTGCTAAAATCATATTTTTATAATCACTGTAAATAATCTATGTTTTGTGTTACCAGAGAGGAGATCATGCTAGCTACTGCCCTGTATGAACCTCCCATAGACTTTAAAAAGAGGACCAGCTTTGATTTGAGAAGGATTGTAGAAGATCAGGTTAGCTTCATAATTATAAGTTTTACTCTTTGATCAAGTATCTATATCAAGACAGAAAAAGAAATGTTTACAAAAAGTATATACCCTATAATATTGGTCAGTGATGATTGGTCAGTTAATCCTATGGTTTAAAGTAAAGTTTGTACACACCTGAAAGACAGTGTAAACTTAACAAGCTTGGGCAATCATTTATACTATAATACTGTTAATATAAATAATATTAAACTGTAAATGTTCAAATTACTCAGTGCTATCTGTTTGTGGGAAAAGAAGATCACCATTTGGTCATCCAGTGTTGTGTTTACTATCTTGTAATGTTTCGTGACAGTGGCGGAAGGAGCTTCAGATGGAGATGGAGGAGGAGGAGCGACAGAGACAGCGAGATCTGGAGGCTAAGAACAAAGCAGAGGAAGAAAGGCAGCGATATATAGCACAGACACGTGCAAAGAAACTGGCAAACAACAAACCTAGTCCAGTATTAGTCAGCTCTCCAGACATGTAGACTGGACATGCATGCTCTGGACAGTGGACAGTTGCAGTATTATCAAATTAGATGTACAGGCCAGCCTCAGTTCTATAGCCACAACCAAACACTGCTTTATTATCTCGTTTAGATAGCCAGTCAGTTAATTAATGTGGGCAGTATGTCTTTGTGGATCCTTTTTATTGTATTTAGACAAGTGCTACTGAGGACACATCAGCAGGACACGTGTATGACTGTATAGCCAGAGATGTCCATCTTACATGCCTCTCCACGTGGTCAGTGTGTGATACTTATTAGGTCTAAGGATATCTATATGGACACAATAGGACTGTCTCTGCAGCTTGTGCTAGCTGTTAAGGAAATTCCTCCATTGGTATGTTGTCATATTCAGCCTGTGTCACTAGAGCCTTGCATGAAGTTTCCTGTCCCAGTATTGTGTCCACTGGTACCTCTTCTGGACTAGTTATCTATAACTTATCCCTCTACTGAATCAGACTGTTTCATAGATTTGCATTCATGTAGCCATTTTGAAAATAGACAGGTTTGGATACTACTGGTAACTTGCCTGGACTTGAGATATAATTCTATCACTTAACTTGTCGCTGATCCTGATACATAAACAGTTAATGACAATTCAAGTTTTGGTATTTGCAAATGAAAAGATTTATAACCTAACTGTGATACTTTATTTATTTTGTTATTTCATATCATAAACTCATTTCAGGTTTTAATTTATTATGTTAAGTGTCTTAACTATTATACGAAAGTGTATAAATTTATGCAAACAGAAGATACAGCTGTTATGAACATGTTCATGATATTGCCATAAAGTGATATAAAGACACATGATATCTTTAAAGTTTTATTTAAAGCAACAACTGCTATATATTTTTTTTTGCTTTAATCTATATCAATCATATTTTGCCAAAAGTGGTGTGTATTTAGAAATAAATTGTTCTCATATTCATATGATTTTTGTGTTGCACTGTGAAGCTGGAATCTTTTCTTTTCCATACAAAATACATACTTTAAGGATCAAAGGTATTTGATTCCTACAATCACCTTTACTATTTCTGAAGAGATTATGGTCTAATTATATGTACTGTATGTTAGTAAATCACAAGTGTTACAGAAAACCTGTTGCGAGACTACACTGAATACAATATTTTAGTTTATCATTGGTAAAAGTGAAAAATGTTTCACATACATGGAAAATATATTGGAACTTACCATTGATAAGTTTAGAAAATAAGCCCCAAAGGAGTGTGAGAACCAACATCCAGATTGCTCAGTTGTTGATCATGGCAGAAATTTTATATGGATACCTCTTGGTATTTACTAGCGTTCCACTGAGACAGGTAAACGTAAGAAATTAAAGAATGGACCATCAACATCCATAACCACAGTTGATGTGACATTACTTCATTTCATTAGTATCTTAGTTTGTTTGTTGTGTTAATTGTGAACAGTCACTGCCACTGATCACGGGGAGGTGTCTCCTTGTAGTATCTGACAGCTACCTTATTAAGCATGATGCAGAAAGCCCTCTGCTTCTTCTGCCTACTAATTGCCTCCTTTGTCATGTATAAGAGGCCCACAACATGCTCTGCGGTGCAATTGGGGTATAGTGACTTGCCAAAGGACACAATTACTGCAGCACAGGACATAGCGAACCAGTTTTAGATTTTGTAAGCATAACTGAATCTCTTACCGTATACTAGATTATTTTCATTCACCTAAATTACATGATTTTATATGACAATCTAATGTTCATATTTCATGCTATTTATCATTAATTCCCTGATAGATAACAGAACATTGTGGAGATTATTTCAGCTGTGATATGTAACTCTGGTCAGTTTACATGGTCACTGATGTCATGATCAATTGGTTTTTATCTAGATTGTGTGTCATCGGCGCTACATGTATATGTAAAACGCTGCACGATGTACAAACACTATGTATAAAAGGACATGAATGTGACTGACAATATAATGTTTATGTTCAAAATTTGTAAAAAATGGCAAAAATTAAATGCACACAAAAAAACTATGTTATACAGTATATCCAAAGTTTTGTACAATATTACTAACCAATGCCAGACTTCGGAAAATTTTTATGTTGGGGATTGGTAAATTTATTCTTGTGTAGAGGGTGGGATAGTAAGATCAATACATGCTGAAAGACCAATGCTGTAAACGTGATATGGTGCATCTATAAGGTCTTCATTGTGTTTGATTCTTATGCTTGTTACGGGAGCTGTTATGAATCTGTGATTATCATTGTTTTAGCTCTTTTTATTGGACTTACGATATAATTCAAATTAATAAATGATCATCAGTTACGATTCAACTTCATTATGTGTTATAGTTTTAAATCCTTTGAATTGTTTGAACGTAATTTAAGCCATTCTGTCCCAAACTTGTATTTTATCTGATCTGTTCACATGCTTGATTTTAATACTAGTATTTAGTATTGAATGCAAATGAAAATATTATAAATGGTTTCATTAAAGCTATGTATTTTTTACTTCATTCATATTTTTCTGGAATATTTGTGCAAGTTGTTGTGTCCATTGTCTACCAATATGAACCACTTGTTCTGAATCATACTAAATTCATATCAAATGTTGTAATTATAACGTCACACAGTTTAAATATGCTTAAATTTTCATCAGAATTTCTTTAATGGTATAAGTGTCAGTATAAAATGTGTAAATGAAATCCTCATCGTTACATCACATGGAATGTATTCCCATACATACATAAAATCTCAGTAATGTGTGGCATAAAAACATCAATTAAAACCTGAACGTCCCAGTGAATCTCGGATTACATTAGTATAAAACTGATTTCCCAGACTAAGAATTATGTGTAAACTTGATTTGAAATTCATTATTTTTGTCTGGGCATAGATTAACAGCCTAATCACAATGTTTCTAAAATTAATGCACGGGATATGATTGAGAAAAAAGGTCAAAGTGGTCTGTATCTAACATCTGTTCTGCAGCTAACAAAGAGAAGGTTTTAAGTTTATTTTGGCAAACTAGAAAATTCCTCACCCAGCATGCGTGTAGCTAGACAAATACCATGACTTCAATCCTTTAGATTATTGAAAAGAAGTTGGTTGAAGGTTTTAACACATTGGACTCCTGTGACCTAGAAAGTGGGTAAATATTATTAATTTGAACAAACTTGAAAGTCATTATCATGCCAACATATTATCAGAAAAACATCATGACCTTAGGCCTTTTGATTATTGAGAGGAAGCTGTTATTACACACCTGACTGTTGATGACCTTTAAAGTTTAAAGTCAAGGTCATTCATTTGGACAAACTATAACGCCCTTCATCCAAGCATGTCATGACCCTTGACATGTTGGTTATTGAACAGAAGTTATTTGTAGAATGTTAGAAAATGGTTATATAATACCAGAATTCATAATTTTAGGCTTCAAAAACTGCTATCAATGCAAATTTAACCATCAATCCTAAATTAAAATTAACATCACCATCATGCTGAATTCTACATGATGCAAAAACTGATTAAAAGAGTAAATTGTGAAATACAAACAGTTAGCACCCAGTTATCTACATAGGGAATCTAACATAATTTACATAAATAATATGAACCCTGTCAGTCTTTTTAAGTAAAGGCAGGAGAATTACATTATTACCAGTAAGAAAAATATCACAAATAAACACCAACAACTGAATGTATTGTAAAACAGTAACAAGGGACAAATATTGCCTGGGGTAGAATAAAACCATGTTTACAGCACTGATTACTAATGGTTTTATATCACTCTTTCTTCCTTGTGTTTAATGCAACACATAAATAAAATAAAACACTTGTATCTTATGATAATACAATGAAAATGTGTAAAAGAATTACAAGAATAGATTAACAATTCATTTCAATTGTACAACAATTAAATATGTTTGTCTGCTGCGTGTCAGGGCTATTTTGAGAATGGGTCTTTGTGTTGTAGCTGGTGACTACCTTAATGAACGATATACAATAGGACCATCCATCACCAGGGTTTAATATCCTATTGTCTCCAAGGACACAACCATGTCTGCACCTATTGGTTTGTTTCTTAACTTTCTGAGAAACAAAAACCACCACAGGTATGAGAGTTGTTTTATACATTCTGCTACAAACAGGAAAAATGAATCATTATTAAGAAATTCAGTTCATTCTGTATATTTAGTCCTGAATTCAGCCCAACACTAAGGACATTTGTAGTTCATTCTTCAGTTATATACAAATCTGTTTACCTGTACATCTCACTGTACATAAACATAGCCTATACATAACATAAGTAGTACATTAATAATAATATATTTAATACATTGTTAAATACTTTTATACACTGATTTTTACCTCCTTAATTACATGATAGGCATTGTAAATTGTAAATCCCATTACACAATATTCCTTTAAAAAATGGTAGACATTTTCTTAACTTAAATACATGCAGGAAATCATTACATGATTCTTGCATGGTAAAATACCTCAACCATTCTGACTAATACATTTTCCATGTTAAAACAACCCTCTCCTCCCAACAGGAGGTAAAATAAACAATCTGTCGTAGATGAGAGGTTGGTGACATGAATTAATCTCTTTGTAGTAACCTTATGGTATGGTGTCTTCTGGAGATCAACAAAAGTTTTTTTGAAACAGGAGTTAATCTCTTTGTAGTAACTTATGTTATGGTGTCTCCAGAGGATCAACATATACATATTATATTGGAAACAGATCCCTACAAAAAGTATGAAAATATAAAACAAATATAAATTTTATTGTGATTAGTGAAAAATAAAAATTGCATTAATATACATGTATATCTTTTGTAATATTTAAAGGAGTTGCACTCCAACATAACATGACACAGTAGAACACACTCAGTGCTATAAAATACAGATCTAGTGGATTGGTTTACAACAGATCTATATTACAAATATCACATAGGTATAAAAAAAGCTATTGTTTTTTTCAATCTCTGGGTAAGCCTTCCAAAACGAAAGTAGAGCTGCCATGTTGTATTATAAGGGGTTGAAGAAGAATTTCCAATGCCCTAATTATTACAATGTTAGCAGTATCTTAAGGTTGACAAACAGATCTACAATGATTCATTTACTTTAAATGTCACAACATGGCATCATACTATCAAGAAAAGGATTTTTTTACAAAGACCGACAAAAAATTTTCTTCTGACTAGATTATTGGGCGATACAAAGTAGCACTATAAGCAAAATGACCATCACATGGTTATATTTACCTAGGAGAAACACTTCAATATAACAGCTAATTTAATAAATCAAAATGGGCACATGCCAGTACATATAAAGCAGAAAAGCGTCTTTTGATTATTGAAAGCAGGTATTAACATTTATAAAAATTATTTCCATAGGTCATACCAATTGTAACCGTAATTATCCTTAAAATCAACTCCTTTCATGTTCAGAATAAAACGTAAATGTAATTAATTCTTAACTACACATATGAAACTTGGAGTTAAAATAAGGCAGTTTTTTCAGAGTTACCTGAATTACCACATTTTGTAAACACACTAAGCATATTACTGCACAAAAAAAAATCTTAAATAATGCATACACTACTATGCAAATGCAACTTTTGACAACAGAATCTTCAAAACAATGGAACTAAAAATGTGTGTGATCCAGCCTTTGTGAAATAGAATTTGAGTAGAATCTTCAGTCATCAATTTCAATACTCGTATTAATCTTACTGGTAAATCATTCTTCTTCAAAGCATGCATTTTTTGCCAACACCAAAAGCTCTTTCACTGCTGAGGTGAAATAAATTTCTGCAGAAACGGGGATACAGAGATAGTTCTAGGTACTATACACTGGTTCTAACAACAAATAATGATAGAAGGAATATGTTTGCAGGCTATCACAAAATATTATCTTTCGATTCTTAAACTACATGTTAATAGCAAAATATTTTCACACATCCCTGAACTTATAACCTAGTATCAATTTTACCTGATACAACTGCCATTTAGAAGATGTGTTAATGAGGAATCACTATAGCAACATATGAACACCTGACTCTTGGCATCCCTTATGAAAACTGTGTGCCCATTGTATATGTTTTGCTATCTTGTGAATATATTAATTAGACTACTATAGAGGTAAATATTTTCGAGAATTTAATTTTTTTGCAAAAAAGATTTCTATGAAAATGCATGCTTCAAACTTTAGATAAAACCATGAAAATTACAACGTATGAAAACAAATATGTTTACAGTATATTACTGTAACACTAGCTACGATGGCACCAGCTACAGGCTAGGATTATAGTGGTACAACAGTCGCTAGAAATGTATCATGAGCGTGAATCTTTAAGAGGATTGGTTCCCTTAGTTTGTAAGGACCAAGAAACTTCCCTTCAAACGTCTCCGTAATGTTATAACCACCTTCATTGTTCAAACCAAGATCGTTCAGTGTAATATTAATGGGTGCTGGCATTCCATAAGCAGATCCATTCAGTAGAGCGATGGCATAACTTCCTTTCTTCATGAGTGGTTTTACCCAGCCTGTAACAACTCCTTGCTAGAAAAAAAAGAAATCATAGATACATTGTACACAGTAATAACTTACATGTTCACAATGCAGCACATTTAAAAGCTCCTCGAGCCATTTTTTGTTTGTTTTTGTTTTTTTTAACTTAGTCAGATTTTGATACACTTTATGGGATGTCATTAGTTTTTTTTTTAAAGTTTCATATCATTATTTAGACATGAGAATAAATGTTCATAAATTCAGAAACAGTTCAAAGCTATTGTCATATAGGTGTCATACAAGTAAAGTTCCAGATTTTTTCAATACCGAGATTAATATTTTTCTATAAAATATTTGATAATTACATCAGTCCATGGACGCTGCCACACATTAGTTGCCTGAGCCCCAAGGGGGTCTTGATTGATATCAATAACACGCTTGTTCAGTAGAAGGTTTCGGGAAGATGATTTGATGTTTCTCAGGTCCACAGACATGAACAATGGAGCAGCAAACATGGCCCACATCCCAAACTGTGACCTTTCTTGTCCGTCACTCAGACTGTAGTCCCCAACTATCATCTATCACGGTAAAACTTATTAGTATTAAATGAAATACATGTTAGTATAAAATTGATAGTTTTTGTTGCATAAACAGCTTTATCAACAAAAACTTATTGTAAAAGACTTATTATAAAATGCAAGACTAATGGCATAATGTATTATGATATTTGCTAGTACAGTTGTAGTGTACATCGATTGACTAAAAATTGATACAAGGCAAAATATAATCTATATACCAGCAAGATATCACAAACCCTAAAGCATGTATTTTAGAACTTTGTAATTGGAACATTTAGTACATGTACTAATACAACGTAATCCCAAATTACATAGTTACCTCGTCTGGGTCATTCCAGTGACCAGGACCTGCAAACTTGGAGAAGCTGTATACGTCTTTAGAGTAGAACTTCATCACTTCGTAAACTCGTTCCCAGCTGTCGGTGATGTCAATGGCATTCCTCCATGAATTACACAATTTGGCGACCCCCGCATAATCAGAAAACTGGGGGTAAAAAAAACCCAAACAAACAAAATTCTATAAAAGCTTACCATCATTGTGCAATTATGAAAAATGAGACACTAAAACGTTCAAATTGACTTGGTTTTGTACTTACCTGTTCTCACCAAAATGTAGAATTATTTTGCTTCGGTTTTATATCATTAATTCTCATTACCTTTTCCACTAAGTCCTTTCTGTTCATATTTATAAAATTCTAGGTTATCTGAAAGATGCTGGGTTTTATTATAGTAAATGACTTACCATCTCGATCTTTTGTAAGATATTGTAACTAGAGATTTTTAACATCAAATTTTGTCCTTCACCTTTTAGGTTATTTAGTTGCAATAAAAGTAAATTTGTTTACAAGCAGATGTAACATATTTTTGTTATGGTGTCTTTGCACTACATTTCTTATTAATTAATAATTATCTGCAAGTTATTATATTCCAATAATTAAACAGATTTCCTTTCTGAATGATGCAATAAATTTCAATTTGACCTATACAAAAATATTCTCTTTTGATATGAAAATAACACAAGCACCCTAAATTGTTACATACCATATCACCAATACAAGCTGGATAACTACATGAAAATGCTATACGTCTCCCAGTTTGATTTAGGTAAAATCCCATCACTTCGTATCCTGGAAAAAATTACACCAACACATTAATTCATCTGTATACCTGCCAACAGGGGTTAGATATTTTCAAATATCTTAATTTTGTGGGGACAGATTATGCTAGAATTGTATCATAATACATAGTATATACTTGAAAAACAGTAAATTTGCAGACTTTAAACCATTGGACTTTATATGTGAAATACATACCTGTCACCATATCAGACCCTCCCTCACAACAGTCCATCTTAAGCATGTCAATTCCCCACTCTTTAAGGCTAAGAGCATCCCTCTGGATGGAGAATTTGCTCCCTGGAAAACCCTTGCAAGTTTCCAACCCCATGTCCAAGTAGATTCCAAGCTTCAGACCTTTAGAGTGAACCTAGTGTGACAAAAAAAATCAGTGAAGTAATCATGGCAACTGCCAAATTGTATGAATTTTCACCAAGCACTTGTGTTTCCTCCAATATTCAGACCCCCTGCATGTTTTCTCGGAGCCGACAAGAGCAAATGTATCTAAAAAAAGTTTTATGATTGTTTTAAAAGGAATGAAATTTAATTTCTAAATTCTGATATCATGAATGGAGTTATCATATCAGCCATATGATTAATACAACACACAGAAGTAATCTAGCATGGAAGAGATATCAAAATAAAAAATTACTGAAATAAGCACGGAGAGATACATACATAATCAGCCAGATATTTGATTCCATGTGGGAACCTATCCTTGTCTGGTTGTAAGATTCCCTGTGAGTCCCGCTTTGTACTCATCCAGCAATCATCCAGAGAGATATATGTATAACCAGCATCTCTATACCCATCCTTCTCCATTCTGTCTGCCATCTCCATTATTAACTTCTCACTGAAACCGTTTCAAAGTTTTAGTTGCTCTGTTGATAATTTCAGTTGACTGGGAAAAGTGTGGATATAAATTGACCCCAAAAGAAAATAAAATGGTCAATAATATTTCATTAATGAAAAAGTATTTATCCTGCATTAATCCAATGTCTAGTAGCAAGTCCATTGGTGTCTTCGTCAGCATCTCAGTAAAAATCTTAGCAAACACGTTTCATTACCTATAATAAGCTCTGGTGACCCATTACTCTGAGTCATCTTTCATACAAACTCCCTGTGCCTATAACAGGATAGGTATAGGTGTACAAAAACATATTTAATGTGGTTTTGATATGGTTTTCTCCCAAAATAACACATCTTTTTATGCTATAGATTTTGGCTTTGCTAAAGGAGGAAATTATCAGGTGAAATCATAGTTGAGTAGTATGCTTTGGCCACATTATAAGATTTCCACTAATATAATAATGTTATCTACGATATTATGTTAGAAAAGCTTACCTGATGCAGTTCTCTGGATCATTCTTACAGTCCAAGTTACATCTAAACCTTTCCCACTGCATCCAGCCCATGGGAGGAGTTAAAGCCAAACCGTTGTCTAAACAGCTGACAACAGGTGCCAGGAACAACATGATAAGCACACTTTGAAAAGCCATGGTAGCCCCAGATCTAGAAAAAGACATGTGTAATTGAATTATATATTTTTAAGCACATGTGGCTAGTTATATGTACATATACCAGTTTACATAAATGTTGACAAAATTTCCTTGTCAAAGCATGCATATGGTCTAGTGTTAATATGCTATCCTGTTGGTCGGTGGGTCACTAATTTAAGCAACATACTTTATTCTCTGACTGTTACAGTTGTCAGGCTGAGCTACAAATGAGCACATTGTTGGACGTGCTTGATATGTTGTGCACAAGCTGTGAGCATGAAATGGTAGTACTACTCCTAACATGATTATAACAATTTGAGACTGCTTTGAGATATCTATATTGTTGTCATATGGCAGTATGTAAAGACAAAAAAAAATGCTGATGCAACGAAAACCATTCAAACATGTTTTTTTCATTAGTAGTCAAGTTGTCTTTTAAGTTACTTCAAAAAATGCTGATGAAACGAAAACCATTCAAACATGAACTCTATATATTCTTCCAGATTTCGGAGTATATCGGATCTTCGGATTAACGGGCCTTCGGAGTAACGGGTCACGGGGTGTCAGCACTTATCGGGACAAACTGATTCATCTAGCTTATTGAAAATGATATAGGTATATATTTAATGGATTTGCGCATTTGATATCGACCTCAAAAGTCTATTTCTATATCATATTTGTCAGATACCTAATTTGACTGTGTACTTGCGACTATATTTCATAAGCAAACACATTTTATGCCATGGCACAACCGGCCAACTTTCTAAATGACAACTGCGCTAGGCCTGGAGGCGGATCGACACTGACACAATCGACCATTCACACAGTTCAACGGGAAAAAATATCTAAAGTAGCAAGTAGAAGGTTGTATTCACAAAAACGCTCATATTGCCAAGATCGCATATTTAAAGACAGGAATACAAACCACTGAAGTCAACTGCGGCAGCCTTCAACCGGAAGTTTACAATATTTCGGTCAATACAAATTTCAGATTGTATGTCGAAACAGGTACATTAGTCACGATTTACAAACAAATCAATCATATTATAAATTGGTACTTATGATATACTGATAATATTTTATTACATTCCAAGCAAATTTTTAATATTATGTGATTACTCGATATATTTTTATAATTTATATGTGTATTTTCTCCGCTAATTTCTTTAACTCTAAAATTTCGTCACATGATTATACAACGCACATGACTTGTGATAAAAATAACTCCGTAGACAACCGTCCTTTCCCAGTCTACGGTAGCGTAAGGTAAATGTCACCTAGAGTGCATTTCAGTAAATAGGCGGACCTGATTTGTCTGAAAAATAGAGTGCGTTACGCCCAGGCTTTATGCACTTTTGAACTGGCGAAAGGGAAATTGTTCCACCTAAATGCTAACTATAGTAGGCGAATCATGTGATATCTATGACTAGTTCTGTATTAGTAATTATACAAGCTCTCCGATTTGTACTCTGAACATCGCCGATTTTTCACGTGATGATAAGTCAAATATTTCCATCATAATGTACAAGAGGGAAGGAAATTAAATTTGCATAGGGAAGAGGGTTTATGTTTCTTGAAAATGGATGCAGATATATATAAATGCTATTCACACACCCCTATTCACAAACAATGCTTCGTTCTGTTGTCATGTAATGGATGCACTCCCTAAATCACTTTGAATCAGAATTTATATGTTGCCGCTATCCGTTTTATGAGAATATATACTGCAATACTGTTTAAGTTTTCTTGTGTGTTTTTATTTTAGCAGCAACAATTAAAGAAACATATATGATGCAGCTGTCATCTCTATTCCTACTGCTGTCGCTTGCCATCCTCTACAGGATAGGACAAGACCAAGTGCTGTCCCTGGAAAATGGCTTGGCCCTGACCCCTCCTATGGGCTGGATGCACTGGGAGAGATTCAGATGCATCACCAATTGCACTGAACAACCAAATGATTGTTTGACGTAATTACAAATTCTGTGTCTCAACAGAAGAAGCAAATCACTTATAAGAATTGTGTGCCTTGCTTTGTCAGCTAAATGCTATACAATACACATTGAAATGTTGATCTGTAAGACAATAATATCTATAGCACTGATGTATTTGTGTGGATGTTTAAATAATGTAAAAGCTGATATAGCAGTAAGTTCATGGTTACAAAGTTACGATAGGTATACTGGTCTGTCTATGTGTCTCTTTTTCTGTCTTTTGGAGCATACTTGTTCAGACAACTACTTACAATTATGGCTCCAACAGATCCTGACTCATTGGAACTTATAGTTCAACTGTATTAATATTAATTTTTCCTTTCTGTCAATGTACTTCCAGGAAGGATTAATGGCATTCACTCGGTATCACTCTCAGCTTTTAAAAACTTTCTGCATGTGCTCAGGGTCTGTCAATTTTTCTTTTGTGTCTTCTTTCATTTCATTGATGTGCTTCAGAGTTATGTCCCCTCCAGAACATCTTTGTAACAAGTTTATCAAAATTGATGCGGCTTCATAAACCAGTCCAGATAAAAATTTTTGTGTTTGAGATGTGCCTGAAGTAGTTGTGCAGTTTCAATTTATTTTTTTTTTTATTTAAGTTTTCTTCTACAGAATTTCCTTTAATGCATCATTCTACAGAATTTTTTAAAGGTTGATCTCCTCTTGCTAGTAATACTTGTGTTGCTAATGATTTTACATAATTTTCTTGCGGACTTCTATGAATGGCTTTGTACATTTGGAAGCTGCAAGTATAAGTGGCTTAACTGGTAATTATGAAACAAAATGTAAAAATACATTGACATTAATTTTTTTCTGTAGGGAGGACCTCATCAAGGGTCAAGCTGACAAAATGGTGTCTGAGGGTTACCTTGATGCTGGCTATGTGTATCTGTCCATTGATGATTGCTGGATGTCCAAACAGAGGGACAGCAAAGGAGCACTGGTGGCTGACCCTGTCAGGTTTCCTAATGGCATCAAGGCTCTGGCTGACTATGTATGTCTGATGATATGGTCTTGTTATAGGTTCACATTTAGAAGTAGTTAAAAAAAGATACTATGGTTCTGAAAGCAAGCCAGTTTAGAGAACTAAGTTTCTTTCATTATATGATTTAGTGTGAATGAAAGAACATCTACCTGTTGGTGTGTGTATTTGAGATTTATTTAAACTCAGTCAAGGATTAATATGCTGAAAAAGACTTATTTGAAGTAAAATCAAAATAAAATGTTAAGAAATGTCGGCCTGGGACTGAAGGGAAGCAACATTCAATACATAAAAAATGAATTTGTTTTATTTTTATTTTTCATGCATAACTGTCAAACTTCAAAAAAAGAAAAAAAATCACAAATTATTTTACACCAAAATTCTTCAATTTAACTTAAGTATCTCTCTTGTGATTTCAACACTGTCGAACAATTGATTATGTCTTTATTTAAATCAGCTTATTTAAAATTCATTACATGGATGATTAAATTCTGAACAAAAAGAATTAACTCTTTAATACTTGTATGAGCACATGCCAATAATATATATATGTATTTAGAGATACAGCTTTGTATATGATCAATGAAGTAATAATGACAGCACAGACAAGAAAATAGTTAAATTTCAAGACAGTCTGCTGCTTTATCAAGACGCAAAATTTTCCACAAGTTACATCATCTGATAACTGGTAGGCCGGTTGTATCCCTTATTAGGAAGACAAAAACCATCCTATGGTGATTCAGCTCTGTTATTATAAATACATGAGATAACTATTGATCTTTAGCTCTGCATGCTTTAATTGATTAAAGTGAGATGATTAAATATTGATAAGTTACATGTTTACTAATATGTTTTCATTTTAATAGATGTTGCAGAATAAATAAAGATTCAATTGAAAATTTATGTAACTTTGATAGATACAACTCAGATTTTACTTTTTCATTATTTTACTTTAATACACACATAACTCCCAAGAAAATAAGAAAAAGGTTTTGAAAGAGAAATATGCTAATTGTTTTGTGTGTTTTGTTATTAGATTCACAGCAAAGGTCTGAAGTTGGGGATCTATGAAGACTTTGGTAAAGCGACATGTCAGGGGTACCCAGGGAGTGAGTTCTACCTGGAACAGGATGCCAAGACATTTGCAGAATGGGGTGTTGACCTCCTTAAACTAGACGGCTGTAACTCTGATGTTCATGACATGAAAGATGGTAGAGTATATCTATTTTTCTTCATAATAGTAATATCATGCTATTTCATATTACAATATGTTGAAATATTCTTATAAGAAGGCCATATCAGAGCGATGTGACTTCAGACTTAACATTTTACCTTTTTATTATGCTCGTTAACAGTAATGCTTTGAATGTAATGGTCCAATTAAGTTTCCGTGTTATTTTTTTTCCCAACTTTTGTGTTCTAGGATATGAAGCTATGGGTGGATACCTTAATCGAACAGGACGGCCAATATTGTATTTATGCTCCTGGCCAGCTTATGTACAGAAAGATGCGGCTTTGGTAAATTTTTACTTTGCTTCTGGAGCAAAAAACAAATCGTTAACCATGTTTGCATGGAAAAACCGGAAGTAATAAGGCATGTGAATTTCACATTTAATGAGACCATTTAAGTCCTCCCATGATATTTTCAGAGAATGGTGTTAAAGTAAACTTGATGCAGGCCATCAGAAATAGTTCAAAGATTGTATGGTTTCATAAGTATGTAATTAATGCATACTGCTATAGTATGGAACCAGTCCACAAGACTTAATCTTTGTTACACTGAATGGCAGTGGTAAAGTAATTTTCATTTCTACTGAAACAGCAGTCTGTTAATAACCAGGCCAGGATTTACACCGTACACTTTGGCTCATAACATTGCAAAACTGCAAAATATAAACCAGTGATCTACAGTGCTTAAGGCTACCTGAATTAGCTTGTTTACTCATCAATTGAGTTTGGTGACTCAATAATCCAGGTTAAAAAGTCTATATTTCATCAAATGGCTCACTTGTTTTTACAATCTATATAGCACACACTGTTTCATTTGATGGTATTCACCATATCATCTTGATTTTGGTGCTCACTACTTCAACCTGACTTAAGTACTCACTATTTCAGCCTGACTAAGGTTCTCTCCAGTCTGGTACTCTCATTTTTAGCCCAATTTTGGTACTCAGTATTTAAGTCTGACTTTAGTACTCATCATTTTAGCTAGAAAAAGGTTCTCTTTATTTTAGTTTGCTACTCATTGCTTTTGCCTGACTTTTGTACTTGTAATTTTAGCCTCTCTTTTGTACTCGTAATTTTAGCCTGATTTTGGTATTCGCTGTTTCAGACTGATTTTGGTATTCACTATTTTAGCCTGATTTTAGTATTCACTATTTCAGACTGATTTTGGTATTCACTATTTTAGCCTGATTTTGGTATTCACTAGTTTAGCCTGATTTTGGTATTTGCTATTTTAGCCTGATTTTGGTATTCACTAGTTTAGCCTGATTTTGGTATTCGCTATTTTCGCCTGATTTTGGTATTCACTGTTTTAGTTTGGCTATGGTACTTTTTAATTTCAGTATGGTTCTCAGTATCTTTGCTACTCACTTTTACAGACAGACTACCCAGCATTTAAGAAGACGTGTAATCAATGGAGAAATTTTGATGATATCCAGGATTCTTGGGACTCCCTGTACAGTATTATAGACTACTACGGGTCAAATCAGTATAACCTATCGGCCTTTGCTGGACCTGGGTCCTGGAACGACCCTGATGAAGTATATTTGTTTTCTTTACACCATTTTTTATATGTTCTGAAAATTTTTATATCAATTTATGATATTGATTCTAGACCTCTGTTATCTCTTAAATCATCGATTTTTTTATAGAACAGGATTTGCTGCGTTTCATGATCTAAGATACAAAAATATAAGATATGTTGTTACATGTTATTCTATTATCCAAAGTTGAAAAGTACAATCACTTTAACATTTGAAATAATTTTGAGTAAAAAAATTTTGTGTGGCATTGTTTTCTCAAAAAAATAAGGAAAGTCTTATTCTGCTCGATTCTAACTGAAAATCAGCACCTTAATATTCATGCTGTAAGTTTCCAGTTAGTACTGAGCTAAAACTTTCCAAGGTATTTATCTTTTTTTTTATTTTAAGATCAACATTTAGTTATAATTTCAAACTTTCCATTTTGCAGTTGATTGTTGGAGGCTTTGGTCTGAGTCAAAACCAGGAGATGGTCCAAATGGGCATGTGGGCCATGATGGCCTCGCCCTTGTTCATGTCCTTAGATCTTCGTAATGTCAGACCCGAGTCCAAAGCACTTCTCCTTAACAAAAATCTCCTTGCTATCAACCAGGATCCTCTGGGAAAACAGGGTGAACGGCTCTGGAAGGTAAGTCCTATTAAAGGAAAGCAACCTCACATTTTTTACTTGGCAGTGTTCATTGGTGAATGTGTCTCAAGATATAATTTGAAACAATCAACATTGCTTAAAAGGGGTCATTGATCATTTTCATTTCACTGAATAATGGCCATACATGTCGTCATTGTGAACCAAAAAATCCATGTTATAATTGATATATTACCATATTTAATATCATTAAACCCATGTCTGATAATAAGCCCACCCATATCTATTGTTTTAGGACACCATCATTAGATGGTAGGTTGTTCCAATCACCTTTTGTCCATGGTCTGTCACCTGTCCATCATCCATCCTTGCAATCACTATTTAGCCCTGCCCACCACAGTCCCTAGTTGTTTCCATTCAATTCTGAGACTGATCAGTGAAACAAAATGACTGACAGATGGCTATCATTGGGATAACCATTTCTAGAAACCTCATATGAGAAGCATTGGAAAGATATTTTTCAATTGTTTGGTGTTCCCTTGGTCCTAAGTTGTGCTCATTCAATAATGTATCTGCTAAACAAATGAAAAATGGCTGACAGACTACCAACGTGGATTTTGATAGTTGAAGTTTGTTTTCCTGATTTCTTAGAAAGTTTTTACTTGGTCTTTAGATTTCTTGTGTATGATTCTTTTTTTTAACAAATGATTAAGAGGGAAAAGGGAACATTTTGAAAAGCAGAGAAAAAGATAAGTTTTTTCATAGAATTTATATAGGTCATTTATTAATGGGCGACTGTTTACTGGCATATTTGTTTGGATAAAAATCAGAAATAAAAGAATCCGCTGATGGACCGCTGGTTTCAGTGGTATTGTCATTTATTATAAAACTCAACTTAAGTGTAGACACTTCATGTAATTCTTAGCATGAATGAATAATTGCTGTTTGTAAAGACTATGCTGATTGGTCAATATTGTTTTCCTTGTGACTAAGGATTATCTTTCACCAGATGGAAAATATCACTATGTTTTGATTCTTTTTTAATTGTATGGAGATTAAAATCAGCTCAACATTACTTAGTGAAGGCAGGTATATAAGGACTGTCATGGTGTAATTTTTATTTGAACAGATAAATAAAGCAGAAGTCTGGATCAAGCCTCTATCAAAACCTGGGGCATCAGCTATATCCATTTTAAATACAGACAACCAAGGTGCCCCTCGAGTGTTCCACCTTTCCCCCGCAGAACTTGGACTACCAAAGGCTCAAAAATACAACATGACCGACGTGTTTACAAACAAACAGTATGGCCCTTACATGTACAGCCAGTCCATACAGTTCACAATTGATCCTACCAGCATGTTCATGGCCATTGCAGATCCTTTTTAATACTCAACAAGACCTTTAATGAAAAAAAATCATCACGTCTTCTTTGACGACTGTCATCAATCCTCAGTGTCCTGTGTTACCTCTATAAGTACCTGACTGACTGTTAGTGTTATAACTGAACTGTAAACCTTAATATCTTTGACAGACTCGGCTGACTGTTGATGTTGTTACTGTACTGTAAACCTTAATATTATCTTTGACTGACTTGTCTGACTGTTGATGTTGTTACTGTAAACCTTAATATTATCTTTGACTGACTTGCCTGACTGTTGATGTTGTTACTGTACTGTAAACCTTAATATTATCTTTGACTGACTTGCCTGACTGTTGATGTTGTTACTGTACTGTAAACCTTAATATTATCTTTGACTGACTTGCCTGACTGTTGATGTTGTTACTGTACTGTAAACCTTAATATTATCTTTGACTGACTTGTCTGACTGTTTATGTTGTTACTGTACTGTAAACCTTAATTTTGTCTTTGAATACTACCTCCCATACGTGTGCTAATCATAGAAATCACCTTTTTTTCTAAGTGTGAGTATAGTAAGATACAACATTCCAGCTGCCACTGTTATATTTGAAAATGACAATTTAAGGAATTTTTCTATATCCATTTACTCACTGGGAATGGCCATGTTTTTGTTTTTCAATTTTCTAGTAACCAAAGATTGTATGGTTTGTGAGCAGGAGAGGAGAGTTAGACTTAGCAATGACAATAACTATGTATGTTCTATAAGACCTGGATAATGTTTGGGATTATAGTACTAGTTAAATGTTGAAATATTGTGATAGATATCAGAATTATGATTACTTATTATCTACATTGTTTTTATTATTTGATGTGACATGATTGAAATATGATCATAATTTTTAGACGTAGACACTTTAAAAATGTTTATTATTAACATAGTGAGTGTGCTATCCAATGTTACTGGATTTCTGGATTCAACTCAAAAGTTGTCCTTATATAATTGATATATTTTACTATCAAATGGCTTAGCACCACCTGGAGTGGTAGCAACTTAAATGGTTTTTACCTGGCCGTGTAAAATACTACCTTCTTCACTATTTGTAGACATGGGTAAATTTATGATATGGTTATCATCAACATTTGAGGCGACGGTTTATTATTTGTAATTTACATTCTGTAAGAGGTGTTTTGATTGTATTTTTTACAACATTAATGAGAATACAGACCTATAGGTGTACATTCTATGTTGGGTTTTAATAATTCGGTATTTGGGTAATTACCTACAGTTTTAGGTTATTAAGTCTTTTTATGTGTATATATATGGCTTCAGGTTTGTCATAGTGTCAAATTTAGAATATCATTTGTCATCAGAATACAATTTTATTAGCACATAAGTTTTTTATGTGCATGTCATAAGTGTTTTAAAGTAGTATTGTATCTAAATTATTTCCATGTGAGTTTTTATTTCATTGAAAGATGAAAAACTGAGTCCAATATCCTTCTCAGTGTTTCAACTAATTTTATTGCTTTAGAATCTATAACTGAAAACTGCTGATTTAGCATGTCCTTCATATATAAAACAACATGTAAACACATTAGTAGTGTCAGGAGTTCTATTGAATGAATGGATTTTTTTGTCTCTGATAATTTCACTTTTACCCTAATGTGATGATGTGGAACTGGGGATATGAAATGTTTGATTTAGTACAAACCTGTCTGTAGTGTTTATTTCTTGTATAGATACTTAAGTACTATTCAGGCCTGTAAAGTTTGACTGAGATTCAAACATACAAACTTAATTGATTTATATCAGAGTAATTGCTATATCAACTTTCCATAACTTTTGATCAAGTTCCTAGGATTTTTTTCATGTCTAACACTACAATAAAATTTGCTTTGTTAAATCATTTTATCAGTATAGATTAGCATAAAGATGATATTGATATACATGTATTCTATGCAAAGTTATATTCACAAATAATAAATTGCTGTGTGTGGTTTTTGACACAAAATGCTCAATTTTTGATTGGCTAGGCCCATTAGTACACCGTTATATTTATAAATAGCATTACTATGTATACTATAGTGATATTACAGATTGTGGAACAAACAACCATTTTTATTTCCATTAAAAGTGACATGAATATAGTCTGAATTATTCTGATATTCTATCATTTTTATATATACATCTGGAGTCTGACTAGAGACAGATTTATAAAAAAAAGTTGACGTCAGAATAATTTTAACACATTTGTCACAAATTAACTACATAGAGACTATCAATACCATAACTTATATTACAGGAAAAATAAGTGACAATCCACAGATGTATTTCTCTTACAGTCTGACACCCATATATCACATTTCACTAGTCACCACAGTCATGTATTTACATCACGATGGTGTGAATACATCTAGATATATGTCTTACAATATCTTTGTTATTGGCAAATGACATTTAAGGCCAGACTAAACATTCAATACATTTATGTTATTTTAAAATCAGATTGCTTCCTTAATACCTGTTTCCAGAAATCAGCACCATTAGGCCTTTCATTACCTTGAAAACTTTTCATTATTTCAACTTTATCATATTGTTTGAATAACTTTGATAATGTACTCAAAAACTTACACCAATATACCATATCATTGCTTGACTACTCAACTGTGCCTGAATTGAGCACTGGACTTTTTCTTATCTTTATACTGTTTTGAACACAGAAATCAACTCCAGTATGATCAAAAATAAAACTTTGATTACCTGTATCCAGTAGTGAAGCACAATAAGCTAAATACTGGATTAATTGCTGTTAATAAAGAAGATTTTGTACTCAGAAATCAAACCTAATAGACATTAAACATTTTTCAATACTTTCATGATTATATATCTCAGGAATGGTTTACGATATAATTTACAATATGCTTGATCTAGATTCTTATAATTGATTGTTTTAATTGATTACAATATTAACATTTTTATCAAGTAATGAATATATTATTTATAAAATTATAAATGATGGAAATATTTTATATTTTCCTCTACCTTACTTTTGATATTGATGAACTCTTAAAAATGGGTGTTTATGACTTGGGTTATGGTATATAGGATAGTAGGACAGGGGTTGCTTCCCCTTGTGCCAGTCCACTATCATTCCTTGCAATGTCTTAATGTGATAATGGTTTTCAAATTAAATAATTATTTTGAGGAAGACAGCGTTTTTGTTTCTCTTTAAAGTGTTATCGCCTAATGATTTGCTGACATATTTGTGTAGATGACAAGTAAAAGATTGAATGACCTTAATATGGGTGGTAGTTACAACATATCTAAAAAAAAATCAGAAGCAAAAATATTTACACTAAAGTGCGAAAAATTGGTGCTTATGCTTTTTGTTGTAACTCAGTATATCTCACTAAATTTGTTTGTAGGGTTGATGAAAAGCAGTTGCTACAAAAGGCAAGTAATACATAAGGGGAAATTCTGTTTGACTCCATATGTTAAGACCTATAGCCAGGTGTAATTTGTAAATAAAAGGTTAACACATTGTTTTAATGTAAGCAGCATTAATATGAAACGTTTTAAGTATTGAATACAGTCAACTAGTAACACCAAGAAATGTAAAAAAAAACTATGAACTGACTAATCACACAAGAGAATATGAAAACAAATGCATATATAACACTATTACCCAATCATTTGTATTGTACTTGGTCCCATATACAACAATAGTATTCTTGGCATTACTTCAGTGCGAGAGGTGTTAGTGAGGCAGGGGTTCGCGGGGGGTGGGGGGGATACAGATGTTAGATATCTCCCGATGGTTGTTCTTGCTGTAAGACATCGGGTGTACTTTCCATGTTTCTCTTAATATCACCTCTTTTGCTTCCAGGGTTAGCGTCAAACTACACAGTAGCGGCTAATTGTGTCAATCACTAAAGTATAGATACTGATAAGGTCCCATTGGTGAATTCATTTCATAACACGTGTAGTTCCATTAAAAATGATATACAGTTACGGTATCTACATATATAGGAAAGTACTTCAAAAGTTAGTGACGTAGGGATAGCTGCACAACCAGATGTACTGAAAAATGGTCTGCATATTTTCAACTAACAAATATTATAGATTAACAAAGAATCATGCACGGAATTAGTACTAAGCCCCGTTAACACACTGTTATTTGTGGGATGTCGTTACTATTAACACGTACTGGTGCAAAATTCTAAAAACATGAACACACGATTTCAAACGTCTTGTAAATAAATTGCAGTGACATGTCATAAAATAACACATTTCCATAACTTTTAAAAAGGTTAACAAACTCATGTGTATACATTTGCGTATTACTCTGTGTATGGGACAGTACGCCTCAGTGATCCTACTCCTAGGAATGACACCTAGAAATGCAATAAAAATCACACTTTTCCCAACGTGACAGTGTGCAGGATTTATCAACACATTGAAGCATGGGGTTGCTACTTTTTTCTTTCAGTTGCCTACGCAATGAAAAAGATATCCAATGACTCATTGTGAGATCAAATACTATGATTACTACGCCAGACTGCTGTCAATATGACTTTAATAAGCAGGGTCTGAATTTAAACCTGCCTATCCCTTCCAGTACTATTCCATAGGGAAAAAAAGCGCGTAAATTACACCTTTGCTAATCATCTTAAACGAACCAGTAATTGTAAATCATTAAGGAATGAAAATTGCCAAAAGCATTAAAAAGGAGGCATTTATTTTGTGACAAAATTTTACAATATTAGAACAATTACATCTGAATCTGATTTTTAAGGAAGTTTTTAATTCATATAAATCCGTCTCATTTTCTGAGACATGAATTAACGAGACCAGGCATCAAGCGGGAAAGTGAATACGTTGATGTTGGTTCTAGTATTTGTGAACAACGTGGAGTTATGAAAATAAGGAGAGGAAGCCAAAGAATGATACTGAGGGAAAAAGAGAGAAATTTGCCTATTCACAGGGGGACTGTAATAACAGTGTATTGGACCAAAAACAGCCATTCAAATCCCTTGGGGCTGATAATGAAGTTTTGAACACATGGGAAAAAAATCAGCAGATTTTCATTATTTGTAAGCTATTTTTCATTGAAGGGTACAATTTCGGATGAAATAGTATTTAGAATACTTACATGCTTAATTTGTTCACCGGACCTACACGGATGAAAATCGTCCGTGTAGTCTCCGTGTATATCCGTATTGCAACCGAGTGATCCGTGTAGGCACCGACGTATCCGTCTAACGTCCGCGCTCATCCGTGTACGTTTATGTTCTACGGAAGACCACGGCTGTCTACGGATTATACACGGTTTGTACCCGGAAGCTTCACGTGCAGTCATGGTGTGATCACGGAGCAAGTACGGACACCACTGGTATCAATACCGCGTGTTCCCGTAGATGCCGGAAAGACTACGGTTTCTATAAGGATGTACACGGTTTACCTACGGTTATTATGAGTAGGGGAGCAATGCACGTTTTCGAAAACCGTCATTCTCTCTTCACTCTCGTAACAGATAATATCTTTCAACTACAATGACATGTTTCTGTGAGGCATGGGTTTCATCATCCAGGTTTTAAGCGCGAATGCATCATCCCCAACAACGAAATATGGCATGAGTCGGTCATCGTTTGGTAGGGGTTCTGGTTCTGGTAGTCCAATAGTTCCATTTTCAAGAGCATCTTTCAGTACTGTCTCACTGAAGACTCTAGCATCCGAACCTGCACCACTAGCTCCAATATCGACATAGAGGAATTTATAATGAGCATCGACTAATGCCATGATGACGATGGAATGAAACTCTTTATAGTTATAATAGAGTGAGCCAGCATGTTTTGGGCATTTTATATGTTTGCCGTCCATGGCCCCTACACAATGAGGGAAGTTCCATTTTTTGTGAAATCCTTTTGCCACTCTCCACCAACCTTTCGCCGTTGTTGGGCAAACCATAACTCCAGACTTGTAACTGTTACCTATAGCTAAATAACGCAGGGTTATAGCAAGCATTAACACAGGTTCTAGTGCCTTCCTCAGAAATGTATCTTTTTTTTTTTAAATTCTTAGCCCAACTCTAGCAAGCATTTCTTGAAAGGTGTCCGAGTCAATCCTCAGGAAATTCCTGTACCCGCTGACATCTTCCGAGGTCAATTCAGCCATTAATTTTTTCATACTGGCCGTAGAGTGGCCGTCTGAGAAGTCAGGGCTTGATCCACATACGCCTCCCTGCTTGCTTCTTACGCTGTTTCATCATTTGCTGCAAATGAACAGCTTTTGAAGCCAGTAAATTCAACTGCATATCAAACAAGTGCAAGCGAACCATATCCATATTTTTAATTTTTTCGAATACTTAAAGAATGAAATTAATATTACACCGTATGACCTTTCTATATATGATTGCAAAAATGGATGAACAATTTTGATGATCCGTGGCATACGTATATACATCGGGTATCTCCGTGAGACAATTGTGTAAAGACCGGCATAAGTCGCGATATTCCGTGCACACCGTGATCACTCCGATATCGTCCTGTGGATTCTCCGGAGACATCCGGGTACTGCCGTGATTATCCCTAGAATGACCGACGTTATCATTGTTAGCATCGTGTTCAAACTGTGTTGACACCGGCATCAATATGTAACAGGACATTAAAACGCCGGATGGTCCCGGATGATAAAAAGAATTAATCCGTGATGATCCGGCGTCTCATCCATGATGGGTGAAAGGGGCCGAAGTCCCTTATGCCGAATGCGACCAAGCGCTTTATCAAAAACAAAAGCAAAACAAAAAAACAAAAACCACACACACACAAAACATACGTATTTCTTTATGACTGTCTAACGTAAAATTAATGTCATGAGTGATAGCAAAAAGTTGATTAATGAGTGAATCGCCATGTCTAAATCTTGATTGGTGAGGAGATAGTAGGGTGTGTGCGAACAAAAAATTAAATATGTTTGAAAATGCACTTTTCCCCTGTAGATGGTTCAGAAAGACTTTTTCATTTTTTCTTGTTTATTTATCTATTTATTGATCTTTATTCATTTCTTGTTTTTGTGCACTGGAGTTACATTAGCAATCTTCGAATCTGTTGGGTAAATACCAGATCTGAGAGTTTTGTTGACGATTGTGCCTAGGGGGTTACATATCGCCCGATTCTTTAAGTAAACGAGGATTCACAAGATCAAGACCAATGGCAATAGCGTCTTTAACATCAGAAGCAATTACAGGGATGTGAGAAAGAATTTGGTTACACTGGGGGTCATTAGGAGGACAGCATTAGAATCATCAATATTTGACTGCGCACAGAAAAACATCGCTGAATAAACAAACTTTTCCGAAATCACCAGAAACAAAGTGTCAGCATGGAGAAGTGGATTTTTTTTCTTATTTGGTAATATCATGTATGCAATTTTCCACCTCTTCTTCACGCTGTTATTGGACGGTTTCTAAAATGTTCCACAGAGATATCCATATATACGGCTTTTGCCTTTTTTATAGTGTTAATGCTTGATGGAGTTTAGATAAGTGAGTATCAGTGAGCGTACGTTTGACTCTTTTATGTGCTCTATTGGACATCCTGGAGAGTTCGTCTTGTCTGAAAGTCAAAATTTTGTTTGGAATAGAACTTTTAGCAATGTTCAGCAATGTTTCTGCAACATTTTTAATCTCAATATTTATATCATTAACATCTATCAATGTATTTAATTTAATAGAATTCAATTTAACAGGGCATCTCTAAATAAGTGATAATTTCTACGATCAAAGAGCCAGATGTTACTCTTGAAACTGTGTTGAACCGGCTTAACGACGTAAAAATGCTTACTTAGATACTTTATAAAGAGGACTGCACTGAAACTTCATTCTAAACGCACCAAATCGATAATCTGATACTTTCATTCCCGAGCCCTTATATAACAGTTTTCTCAGCACTGTACCATGAGTGTTTCTCCAAAACACTGGGAGAAGGTCTTTAGCACCAATCTACATATTAAACATTATACTTTCCTTCTTAAATGCCAAATTGATCTTGCTTATTTGCCAAGAAACACGACAATGATGACAAAACAAAAATATGATGATCGAATTTGATATATCATTGTCACTCAACAAAAAACACCATGCAAGTTCTGTCAAATATAATCTATTGTATACTGGGCATTCTCGTGTCTGGGACAATAAACATGCCTTCGTTTCTATTAGAAATATATAACATCTTTAATTATTTTGCTATGAAATATTCTACCCTGGTTAAGATATAGTGAATGATTAAACAAATTGAACATAGACCTAAGTTGGGAGTTCACCTGTAAGTAATATATATGACAAGCATTGCTTTACAAGATCATATATCTTTGTATACGTTAGAGGGGGAGGCGTTTGTATAACACATGGGACATACCATATATTGTACAATATAAACTGCACAACCTGTGGCAAGACAATTAAACAGTGCTTGCAGTGGAGTCACGAATAGGCATTTTATATTAATGATAAAATTAGTTTTACTTTCTGCTCAACTATCATCAAAAGGACATATGCAGGAAGTTAAGCACCTACAAAGTACCCTGTAGCACTTGTCGTAATATTTTTCAGAGCCTTTTACGACTATTTAGACAGATCGGATAATTTGCTCTATAAATCAAGCAAACGACTTGTATACAGTAGAACAGCTGAGATGTACGGAATTACAATGCCAGGGTAAACTGATACAAATTGGTGTTCTGACGACATCTGGGAAAAGCTGTCATCAGTTACTTGTTTCTTTGTTAAATTTACGTCATTTCTTGCGCAAAATTATAGCTATTTCTGGACAAAGTGTGCTGGAGCTTATCAATATTTAATATCATTCTAATAAAACACTCTATCAGAGCAGAGTAATTACAAATACCAAGCCTGTTATTCCTGGGCGATGTATCAGCGCAAAGCACATTATCCAATTTCTAAACAAATAAATCAAAATTATTTTAAGAAATTAAATAAGAAGATATATATCACAGGAATCAATATTTCTTTCTCGTTTATGTAACAAGGGAAATATGTTGTAGCTTTCGTTTTGAAATAAATAACTGTAAAGTAGATAAGGTTGTTGAGCATACCGGATCTTTGATGTGCTCTGCAATTTTGGTTCTGTTTACTATAACTGAAACTGTTATATTGCAGAGTATAATGGCTAATGTTCCTATTCAGTAACATAGTAAGAAGACCGTATTTGAAATTTGCAAAGATATTAAAGAGTGATATAAAGGAAAGAATTACTGAATATAATAAATACTTCAAAAATTGTGCATGCTGTCAAAGTTATCTTTATATTTGGGACGAACTGGATAGATAAACTGACTAAACCGACCATATAAAATACACAAGTAATATCAAATGATAAAATTTTATTTGCATGGATTAACACGACGCCGTTTAAATCGTGAGCATAAACCAGGAACTAAATAACATGGCAATTAATGAGATACAGATTTTCTATAACTGCCACCAGGAAATAAGAATTTTTTAGATAAACTTTTGAGGGGAAGACAGGAAACAAAAATCATTCACCACCATGAAAACACCATAATATAACCAAAGTATTAGATAAACGATGAAACAATTTTCATTTTTGGAACATATTTTACATGTCCGGCTATTTGTTGTGGGATTGGTAAGAACTGGTAGGGGTCACTTTCTCATGTAACAAAAATGGACGCTGTGATTTGTAGGTGTCTTTGTGTGAAAAGATGTAGCATGTATATGGGTTTCCTTACCTTCTAGGCACCACATACATGTCTGAATTCAAAAGATTTCTAAAACAGAGAGATTCCTTGGTTCAAACATTACTTCAGTCAATGCTTTTACACGATTAATTTTCAGACCAATGCCCTTTTACGGAAGTCGTTTTCGAACACTTACCTGATATGAATCCATTTTAAACGTTTAACTCCATTACTGATGAGAATGAAGGATTGTGATTATTCAGAAACATGTGTGTCACACTGTTTACAATCAGTAATGCCTTTATCGCCTATTATCTTAAACGATTTTAAATAGAGCTGTTTCCAACCAATAACGCTTTACAACGCGCAATGAGTTTTAAACACACGCTGACATTCTGATCGTCGCAAACTTTCTACACTGTTAAGATTGTCGCCTCATCCGAGCTAAGGGATTTTACACCACAATAGATAACAATTCAAATTTTATTTCATTGCACTTTCAAATCCCATTTCTAACACCAGACCTGTTGTAAATTGTCTTGCTGTTACAGGAGGATTAACGCGAGGGAAATGCAGTGTTTGTCATTTCCATTTGGTCTTTTTTAATAACTCGGAGATGTTTGTACGGAATCACTGCAGGCACACCGCAGTCGTTTATAGCTCGACATTTTTCTTTGTTATCTTTGTCGGCTTTTGAACGTCGTTCATTAAATACACGTAAAGACGTTGAAAGTATGAGAAAACAAATTAGCAGATTCTTACCCTTCCGGAACAACAAACATTATTCTTGTATTTCATTTTTCCAGAGTCTCAGTGTAAAAAGAATTGAGTTGGAGTTACATTTTTTGCTGACAGGTGGGTTTTATCTTGTTGTTCTGGTATGACACACTCAAACAGATGAAGTCTGATCGAAGATATTATGTTATGTCCAAACTGGAACTGGCTGTTTTTGGTCATTTATAACGTTAAGGAGTTAAGATAACGGAAACAAAACAATATATATATATAAGTGGTCAGAATTGCATCCGCAGATTGAATCGGGAGAAAGTGACCAGCATTGAATCCGCAGATTGAATCGGGAGAAAGTGACCACAATCGAATCTGCAGATTGAATCGGGAGAAAGTGGCCACAATCGAATCTGCAGATTGAATCAGGAGAAAGTGGCCAGCATTGAATCCGCAGATTGAATCAGGAGAAAGTGACCACAATCGAATCTGCAGATTGAATCGGGAGTAAGTGACCACAA